CTCTGGGAGGCTCCGGCTCGTCCCAGCAGCCATCCTGTTTGAGCTCAGCACGGACTGAATTGACATGCGTCCACTGCGGCCCGCAAGACAGGAAAAAGTCAAAAGTACGCCATCTGAGCCAACCCTGCGCACGGGTGGGCTTCATCCGTGTTCGCCGCCTCACATTTCTGCTGCAGGGTCATGAGATTGATCGCGGGCCCGGAGGGCCTGCTCTCTCCGTGACCCAGCGCGCGGGAATGTCCGGCGGCACCCAGTAGCACATTCGTCACCATTGTCTGCGGGCAAGACGAGTGAGCTGTCGTTCCAGAGAATCTCAGCTGCCAGAAATAACCAGAAATAACCGCCTCCATAGCGGCGGTCCGAACGGACAGGCTCAGTAGACCATGGTGGCGCCGGCATGCGTTCCTTAGAGGTGCATCGCGTCTGGGTGGTAGACGTTTATGTTATCTTGATACAGAAATTTAACATGACATACTTGTTCTCATGGAAGGCCGTTTTGGGGGAAATCATCTCCATTGGTGGTAAATATTGAGAAAGGTTGATCGGCAGAAGTCCAGGAAGATATATTCTTCTTGTTCTGATGGGCCAAGATGATTAGTTGCGCTGTTTTCAATGAAAAATGGTCCGCATGTCCCGCCGCATTCGTCAGCCGCGGTATTTGTTGCAGATCAGTGCTGGCTGCTGAACCAACGTAAACGTCTATAAAGCTCTAAAACCCTCTTAGGACTCTCCAATGTTAGTATAACTCCCACAACAGACTCCGGTCATCCAAAAACAGTTCAAAATCACAAAACGTGCATCATTCAAAAATACGTCAGTCGCCTTCAGTTCCTGTTCCAGTGAATTGTATGCAGCCAAGATGCTGTCGGTGATGGCTCGGGCATAACGTCTCCGGTCGAAAACATGTGTGCGTCTCTGTTCACAATCTTTTCACCTAGCGAAAAGTATTGCCGTGTCGTCCAGACATGACCATATTTGACGACAGCTGCGCTCAAAGCGTGGCGCCCACCGTCAGCTGCCCATCCGCCTACGCTTATGCAGCACCGTCCCCAATTTCTGGAACTTGATGCCAGACGCCGAGCTTGGCGTCTGGCAGGCAGCCGCCGCCGCCGCCGCCTTCGCCTCTGTCTCCGCCGCCGTCGCGGTCCCTGTACCGCCTCCCACTCACCTTCAGTCGGGTATAAAATACGACGCCCATTCGCGGCTTTGTCCGTCCATTTATGGCGAATTGCAGCTCTGAGATGCTGCCAAAGGCTCATGTTTGGCTGCTGCTTATTTCCGCCATGTCGTGCTGCTTATTTCCACCACTTTCGCTTATTTCCGCCATGTCCGTCGTGTCATTTGTCGTGGTTTGCGGCGGAAGCAGTCGTGTAGATATCAAAGCGAATTAGCGCCGCGTGATTGACGGGATCAGAGTACTTGCGCTCAGATATTCCATCAAACCTCGACGGATCGCGTGTTGAAAATCACCCACGCACCAAAACCGGAACTTTACAACATTCCGAGGGAAAAGTACAATACCACGTGCCTGCATTTTTATATTGTTGCTTGAACCGCTCTTTTACAATTACTTGGGTTTCACGATTATTTGAGCATCTTAAATGACGATGGGACGGGGAGCGGCATAAATTGGGAAATAGGGCTACCTCACTTATGTGTTGTTTTTCACTGAACGACTCGTTACGGTAGCAAATGAATGACTAGCAAATGTGTAACATGACATCTGTTTTCCGCGCAGTTTGCAAGCGATTCCAGCAAACGGGAGGGGGGCCGCACGTGGTCCCACCATCCTTCAGATGTCTGGCCATGTCTAGCACACTGCACCTGCCGTAGCTGTAACATTTCGTGCTGCACCCGTCAGAAACGTCAAATTCAGTACATGGCACCTCACCGCAGTAAGATGGGACTGGGTGCTGCCGTGAGGTCCTGGCGGAGGCCCGGAGAGCAGTGTTGTGGGATCAATAGTCCAGGCCACACAGCTGAAGAACCTTGCCGTGACAACGTGTGACGGCCCCGGTTTTCAAGGAACCTCTGCCCCTGTCTAGGCCTCCTCTTGCCAGATCCTGGTCGGGCCCCTGCTGAGGCGTTACCAGAGGCGTCAATGCCATCGGATCACTGCTACAACCGTGAAGCGCCACTAGCCTGCAGTGTTTGCCACTTCTGCCCCTCTTGGCTCGCAGTGTTCGCCGCTCCTGCCCATGGTCTGCAGTGCCTGCAGCTCCTGTCCCTCCTGGCCTGCAGTGCTCGCCGCTCCTGTCCCTGGTTTGCAGTGCTCGCCGCTCCTGTCCCTGGTCTGCAGTGCCCGCCGCTCCTGCCCTTCCTGGCCCGCAGTGCTCGCCGCTCCTGCCCATACTGGTTTGCAGTGCTCGCCGCTCCTGTCCCTGGTCTGCAGTGCTCGCCGCTCCTGCCACTCCCCCATCTTTGTGTGCGCCAAAACACCGCCGGCGCCAAGGCTGCCGCACGCCCGATTCGGTGGAACTGGCTAATTTCAATTGCTGTCGGGCCTCAGAATGAGATGTGCTGCACGCTCCCACTAATCAGCGGGCTCGCGGCGGCGGGCGGCGGAGCGGCTAGCGGCGGTAATGGACGCTACGCGCGGGGCATTTGCTGCAGCTGAACTGGAAATTGCAATCTCGCATCCGACTGTTTGCATCGCTACGAGTGCGCACGACGCCTGTCGGGCCCCACTACACCCTCCACGCAGTACCCTTACTGGGTGTTTTGTGTTGGATTGAAGTCTGATCCCCGCCGCCTCGCCCCACCCAGGCTCCACCCCACCACCACTCTGAGTGGCGGATTGATTGCCGAACTGTTACCATCTAATATCCACGCTTTTAAACGCGTTTGACATTCTTGCACATATTGTGGCGTACCTAGAAAGAGTTTCCAAAGTGAACGTGGAGATTCTCTCGTCGCTCAGCCTCAATACTGTTGGCGAGAGTTTTGCTGTCCGACCCTCCCTCCCCCCCCCCCCTCCACACACTACCCTGGTTTTCCAACTGGTAGTGTGCGTGTTATTTTTCATAAGTCTTTCTCGCCATATCTCGGGTTTGGCACTAATGGTAGAACGTCACTCGGCCCGCGCGACAGCTGTGTTCGTGAGCGCTCTTCGGAGGTTGCTCCTGTGAGAATTCCCAGATGAAATTGGAGGATGGTGGGGACCTTGCAGCTGAACGCTGCCGCTGAAAAGGCATAGGAAACCTGGGAGCTCTCGCGGAAAACAGCGACTGCTGCTGTCGTCTTGGAATCAATCTCATGGCTCTGCAAAGGTTTTTGCTCCATTTGATGCGGTCTAAAATGAGTGGCGTTTTGTACGACGTTTTGAGTGCGCGCCGATCTTAGTGAATTAAGCAGGAACTGGAGTGGCATGCAGGATCAAAGATAGCCATGTGTTCTCATATCCATCCGTTGTTTCTTACAATGTGAATGGGTGTTTGCCATCTGAATGCAGCAACCAACCATGCAGCCTAAACATTTTTATATGTCCCTTGTCCTTGTCCTTTTGTCCTTTTCTTGTAATAGTGGTGGCCCGTGGTTCATCAGTCGTGATGGGTCTTACGTCGAACATTACCCTTTCATCTTTTTCTTCTGAAGGCTCTCCGAAGTAGGAGCGCAATTCGATAAAACCCGCATGATAAACAGGCGTTGCATGACGTCTGTCGTTCCCAACTGATTCGGCGCTTGGCCCCAGTTGTCTGCAGCGCGTAGTCGTGCTACAGAGTGCCGTGCTGATCGCTCGGCCCGATTTAGGGCCTGTTTGTCGCCGGCGGATGAGAACGATCTCAAAGCAGGCCGAAACGTGGCGACCGATTTAAGGAAGCGTAAGATTCCTCGTGCAAATGTTTATCTACATAAGTGGAAGTTAAGAATAGAAGATGACATCGGCGCTGGCTGCACGCCGAAATTTGCGACTAAGCTGCCAGCATGCTCCTTGTTTCACGCAGAGCATAGCCGAGTGTCCGCCAAAGACCTCGGGCCCGCCAACGCCTCGCTGGATAAAGTTAGTCGTCACGGCGGCATCGAGCCAACTTCCGCCGATGCGGGCGACCAACCGTGCTGGTTGTATAAAGGCCCTCGGCAGAGCTGCCGTCTTGACCCGACCAGGGCCATTAGGGCTCCAATGCGCTGGGCAGCGTAGACCTGGCGACCATTTGACTCGCAATACTCGTAAATGTTGTTCGATAGAACGGAAATACCCACCGCCCCCGAAAAGAAGACTGTGACAATGATGCATGCCCTGCTTGTATACCAAACGTTTGATGCAGGTAAGGCGAGTTTGGGGAATTGATAGGCTTCAGTCCAGATGGGACACAAGTTTGGTGGTAAAAATTAATAATTTTATTAGCACTGTATTTATGTACTATCCAACGTCTCATGGGTTGAATGAGTGCAACCGAGCGATTCCAACCAACCGGAACCGAGCACCCACAGGCTACACTGCCTCCAATGCCATCAAGGGGAAAGTGCCTTACTGCCTCATATCCCTCCAGCGTAAGGGAAACCAGTTGGTAGAAACTAAATCACACATTATAGTGTGAAATGTGATGTGATCTGTGTTTTGGCTTACATTTTTCAGACGACCTGCAGACATTTAGGTCAACACCGCGTGGTACGCTTCGTTACACACAGTGACCATGGCGTGGCCTTCAGTGTGACTTGCTACGTGACCTATTCGGTGTTTTACAGCTGAAAGAACAACGTGACATGTGTCGTAATCCACGGTCTGAAGCGCACGTCTACTGTTTCGCAACCTCCTGTGTGGCCTGTAGCGTGGCATCCGGTATTAAATTATAGTGCGGGTATACTCGCACCATCACTTGCGGAGCGACCGGCGACGTCGCCTGAACCTGCAATTGAGCTCGAGGCGTCGCTGACGACATGGCCTGCACGGCGGCTTTAGAGATGTCCCGAAGTGGCTTCTGAACGCTATCCTAAACCGTGCCCTGCACACTGACCCCAGCCATGACCCGACCCGTCACGTGACCCCCTCGCGCCGGCAGGGGGAGAAGTACGACGGTCGTCGGGCGGACGTATGGTCGTGTGGCGTGATCCTGTACGCGCTTCTGGTGGGCGCGCTGCCGTTCGACGACGACAACTTGCGCCAGCTGCTGGAGAAGGTCAAACGGGGCACGTTTCACATCCCGCACTTCGTGCCGCCCGACTGTCAGAACCTGCTGCGGGGCATGATTGACGTCAACCCCGAGACCCGGCTCACGGTAAGGGACGATACTCGGCTCACGGTGAGGGATGAGACCCGGTTCACGGTGAGGGACGAGATCCGACTCACGGTGAGATACGAGACCCGGCTCACGGAAAGGGACGAGACCCGGCTCACAGCGAGGGACGAGACCCGGCTCACGGTGAGGGATGAGACCCGGCTCATGGTGAGGTACGAGACACGGCTCACAGCGAGGGACGAGACCCGGCTCACGGTAAGGGACGAGACTCGGCTCACGGTAAGGGACGAGACTCGGCTCACGGTAAGGGACGAGACCCGGGTCACGATGAGGGACGAGACCCGACTCGCCGTGAGGGACGAAACACGGCTCACGGTGAGGAACGAGACAGGGGTTAAGGTGAAGTTTAAGAGCATGGATCACGGACCGAGGGCACGGGTGGAGGCGTTGTGCAAAGGGGAAGGGATAAATGAGCAAAAGAAGGGGTGGAAGGAAAGGAAAAGGAGGAAAGAAGGAGGACAAAAAACAGAATGAAATAGAAAACATGGGGTGGAGAGAAGCGAAAAAAAGGAAAATGGAAGCTTCCGCCCACACATGGTTTCAAGGTTCATCTGACGCAAATGAAGCGCTTTACTGTACTTGTAGAACTGCAATATCAGCAGGTGACCAGCCACGTTTCCCATGTTGGCTCGATAGGTCATGTCGTAAAATCAATAGTCTCGCCACTAAAAGGGTTAAGGTGTACTGCGATCAGCAGGAGCCGGTTTTTGACCTCATGGCGACTGGGTCCCTTTCCTGCCCATAAATGAATGCTCTTGTTGCTGCTATTGCTCTTTATGTTATTCCGCCACTTCGCGCCTTTCTCCTGGCACCGCCTCCTTTCGAGCTGTAGTTTGTTTTAACATTCCAAATATGTCTGCGCTTTTTGCTGTTGTTCTCCGGGGTTTATTTGAGTCAGAGGCTCAAACATTTACCTTCGCCAGTCTTGTTTTTGTTGCGAAGCAACATAAGCTAGCTCAAAGCAGACTTCCTTCGCGTGGTCTGGCAGGCTCCCTCGTCTTAATGGCTTCAGGCAGCCCGGAAAATCGATGGGGTTTCTCTGAACGCAGCAGAAGCCGAGACACCACACGACGGCATCAGTCTGGCTTAGGCGAAGCCACGTCCCCAATTAGTCCCGCAGCACCGTCCTGATTCGGGTGTGCATCAGCTGGAATGGACTCATCATGGAACACTGGTAGTAGCTGCAGTGATACACCGGTAGCAGCTTCATTCATACACCGTGTGCAGAGGCGGACGGGCGGACATCCTTGCTGGTTTTTGCTGCGCACTCATGACTCAAGTAATAGCGAGGTGGTCACAAGCCAACTTTTTTCAAAGTCGGCACCGATAAGGAAAAGTGTCTAAAGGCTTTCTAACTTTCTCACTAATCCAGTATTGATGATACGATAAGTGCTGCCCTGAAGAGCCTGACAACATTGCGCGCCACACTGTTCTAGGAAACATGTTTGATATATGCCCCGGCTGTGTAGATGCGCGCAAGGTCTTCCAACATCTTTTGCAAACTTTTGCCTCACCGGTCACTGCACCTGGGGTGAAGTCTAGGCCCTGCACACATATCTGACCAATCCGGAGGGTGTGAAGCTGGATCAGTTCTAGCGAGGAAGCACGGTGGACAGTGCCACGACAGCGTGGTATTAAGACTGACGAGTTTCGGCGTCGACACCACTCGAGGGTGGGATGTCTGTGAGAGCTCTCGAAACTCCCATCCGTAAGCTGTCTGCGAACTGGTCAGTCGGCGACTTCCTTCCGCAATGTCTGAAAATTATTGAATGTCGGTGAAAGGGCGCATTCAGTCAACATCGTTTCGAAATATCTGAGCAAGCTCCTTAAACTGTGCACCGTCTGAAGGTTGGGCAGCCAGCACGTATGGCTTTCCGCAACATGTCGACTGTCGAGAATGTGTGGTTGCCTCGCCAACAAAAGGAACGACCGCTTTGGCCACATCCTCTGTGTTTGTTATATCATAGCGGAGCTCTAAAACCTCGCGGAAATCTAGACTTATGAGAGATTTGGAGGCAGTGGTGGGAGGTTCCACATGTGATGGCGAGCGTTTGGCTCAGTAACAACAGACAATGAGGATGCCGACCTTTGCCAGACTTGGATTATTAACTCATTGTTTTAGCTTCAGGCGGATAGCCACGCAGTGGTGTTGAAACCGTCTTGCGAAAACGGATTATGTAATTATGAGAAGAGTTTGTGTATCGCTGATATTGCATTTCACATAAAACTATTGCAATCCTGAGACGTCGAGCCAATCTTCTCAAAGACGGGCGTATTTCGCACTTCATTGCAGCTATAGGACATCAACCAGGCAGCTTCGACGAGTCTCTTGAAGCTTGCCAAGTTTAGAATACGACCACAACCTAAGAATCGAATTCAGCGCGGTACTCGCCGCTGAATATCGCGGCGTCGTTGCGGAGTTGAAGCTAATGCCGTACCTTAAACATCAGCCTGTGGTGGTTCCGTTAAATCGCAAGTCGCAAGCTCTCATGAAATTTACTTCAACGTCGTCCAGGTCGCAAAACAAGTTTATTATGTTGGTCTATACCTAGAAAATAAACAGCTTAGAATGATGTAGTTTATTGCATCAGAAGCCTCAGACATTTCCCACAGTAAATTCCATTCTCGACCTTCACACCTGCCTGCCATCCTTTCACAAGCAGTTCAATGTCGCCGCACGCCACTACGTTGGTCACGCGCTGCAGAGATGTCTGGTATGCTTCTCTGATAACTCCCTAGCTGGCGAACAACTCTTCTTGACTTTAGACGCTCAGTCACTCCTTGACCTTTGGACACAAAAAGAACAAGTAACGCGGTCAGGGCAAGTCTGGGTGTCCTAGTGCTTCGCACTAACACGAGTTCATACCTCATGGACCCGCCGCTCCTGAATCGGCGTCGCGCCGTCCTATAGCAGGACGGCACCTTTGTCGTAAAGCTCGGGACGTTCTTTCTGGATGGCGCGCCGCACCTTCTTCAGCTTTGCCAGCAAGAGGCCCTGTGACGCTGCGACCCTTCGGGACGGCTTGCCGCAGGATGACACGCTCAAGATCGTAGAGCGTCATGCGCATGACCTTGAGAGCTCCAATGCCGTGCAATGGGCGTGGCGACTCCACCCATTGCCCCTCTGAAATCTGTGGGCTCTTTTTGGCTCCCGCAGATGGGCTCAGGTTTTGTCGTGCTCGGAGATGCTGTGGAGGCAATAATTTCCTTCCCCACGCGCAAGAGCAAGATACTTGGATCTCGTCGCGACGTGACGCTGCCGCTGGGTCTCTGTCGGAAGGCGTGACACCCACTTCACTGAGACTTACCTCCTGTTCAGTTTCCTTCGGGTGATGTGGCGAGCTGTTTCGTTGCTCACATTGCTCGTTTGCCACCGTTCAAGCTGTCGTTCCCTTATCTCCATGGATAATGCCCTCCACTTTTCGCCGTTTCTGGTGTACTCGCAGAGCTTTGGCGGCCGGTGCGCGGTCATCTTGAGTGCTCTTCTCCCAGTGTAGAAACGCTTACGTCACCACCAAATGGCTTCAAATGCAGAGTAACCAAGTCCGAAGGCTGACGATGGCAGGTTGAATGGTTTCATGACGTGCTTTCGAAGCAGCATTGATTACCGTTTGCACGTCTTCTCTTGAAAACTATGTTGCGTGATCAATACATCAATCACGGCGTTAGGGAATGCCCTGTCTCCATCGATAAACGGAGAAAAGTGCAATGCAAAACAAAGAGAAGGGACAGTTGAGAACGTATTGTCACAAGTTGTCAGCGGTACACGTGTTCTTAGTTTTTTAGATGCTAACCGTTGCAGTGGACATACTGTACGACCCAATTAATTCGATCTATGAGCTCACTGCCCGCACGTTTTGGCTGCATGTCCTAACGTGAGCTTTGTAGATCTGGTTGCATATGTTGATTATGACGTCTAGATTTTGTTGTAATATACTTTATAGTGTTTGGTAAAAAGTCCAGTCACAGCCGGATGGAAGGATGCCGCAAACATAGATGTTCCAAATCGAGAATCTGATGTCTTGAAAAGCAATCCGAGACAACTGGGCTTATTTTCTGAACTGAATCTAATGTTTACTTGCTGAAATGTGTCTGCGCGGAGTTTACAAACATATATACGTCTAAAAGTCGAAACTCTCGAAGATAACTTTCGTTTTACTTTTTCACCACAACAAACTATCTTGGTGTCATGATGCATTTCAAGGTCATTGGACGGACGCAACTTCCGTCTTCCTCCTCGGGTGGTACCGCCCCTGCCAGACCTGTTTCGGGGAAGAATCTATAATGTACGCTTTCCTAATCATCCGCATACCCCAACGTCGCAAACATGCAGTGAAGAAGCAAACTTACGCAACGTGAGCCATTTGCGGAGAGAGGTGGAGCAAGCCACGTCGAGATGCTTAGGTTAAATCGCAAGATCAACTTTTTCTAGAAACACTCAAGCATTATTACCTTACTGCTCTTGGTCTTGAGTGATTGCTTCCTTGTTGCCCCAGGCTCATGTAAGTCGTTACAAATGGTCTGGGAGGGCTTCGTCGGGGAGCGGTCAACTAATTTAGCGCCGTCGTGACAAGTCTCTCTCGAAACATCAGCAAAGGACTGATAATTCTCTTGTCTAACTGGGGGGTGCACCGGTCTGCGTTACGCCGCTTAATACGGAGACTGATGCCCTAAAGCGTTCTGCCTGACTGCTTCTTTGGCACGGGACATTGTCTGCGGCGGTGAATCGATGGACGCTGAACACGCACACCACGGGCACGCGACTCTTGCACAGGCCCCGGGGGACCTGATTCTGTGTACCACCAGGCAGTGCGTCGCGTTTTTGAAAATCTAGTCATTCTGCTCGGACGGTCGCGAATTTTAGACTCGGCCAACGCAGGGTGCGGATCGATGCCACCAAATGTCGGAGGCCACTCGAACAGCGCTATCAGCCGGCTCTGCCCCAATCGTGGCTTGGAATCATGGCCTCGTCGTATTTAGCTGTCCACCCCAGATTGCCCATAAGCGCATGGGCAGCAGTGATGCAGCATTTAGCACCGTGCCACGGACAACGGCTCATGGGAGAAACTCTCCCAGTCTTCCCATTGTAGCTGTGGTGAAATTATCACCGCAATTTAGTGAGATACATTGGGGGAACATATTGTCGACCGAAAGAATCACGTTCGCCTGATTTTCCAAGTTTGCTTTAATTCCCAGAGCAAAGACAGGCTCCGCAAATTCGGCAGACTGGAATCTGTGCGGTTCACCGGGTGCGTCTGTCTCACAAGTCATGTGCAGAGCAAATGAGACGCGTAAAGTTATGTCAAGTTCGTCGCCATGGTCCGCCGTCGCCATGCGATGAGCTCACCATTTACATCGCATCATCATAAAGTAACCCATCGTGTCCACCCTCCCTAAAGGCTAGACAGCGACGGCATGCCCGTTTGGAATCAGACAAAAACCTGAGTAAAAGCGCATGGCCCACGCTGGGATCTCGCCACGAGCGTGGCTCACACAGCGCGGAAGCGAGTCTGCTGCCTGCGGATGGGCTCGGAGAATCTTCGTTGACGCCGCTGCCGCGCGGGCCATCAGGGGTGTCAGAAAAAGAGACTGAGGCCAGAAACATGGAGTGAAAGAGGGGACTTTGGATACGGATTCAGAAAGTGGAGATAAGGCTTGTCATACCCAATGATGAACCAGCAGACATCGCCCCGTGGTAGCGTCGTTTGGGAGGACGAGGCCTGTGCTGGCCTGGCACGCTCGTCCCCGGAAGAAGGGACCATCAGCGGACCCGGGCCGGCGGAAATCCGCTCGGCCCGGCCCGGCCCTGACGAGGCAGGTCTAGGAGAGCACCAGGCCGACCTCATGAGGCTATATCGGTCGCTTCGATATCTCTCATGGTGATTGGATCTCGTAAACTAAATCGCTGGTCCGGCCGGATCGCTGGGGCATTTCCGATGGTATATTTAGGGACGCCGGAGCGGCCCCGCACAGCTCTTTTGAGCTAAGAATGGCACCCGAAACTGTAAGCGTATTTCTTGTTGTTAGCAGTCTTTCTTATTGAAAACTCGTCCTTGCACAACATAATGAGTTTGTATTTCAACGCACAGCGCAGTTCCTTGGTTACCACTCCGACGTTTTTGTTTTGGGAGACCAAAACATATTTTTGAGAATTGCATTGCTGTTCTTTCAATCATGTAGTAATCTTTTCCTCTTTATTTTTAATCGGATCTCATGTTTTCCATTTTTAAAAAAATATAACTCAGGCGTACAGGCCCAAGAATGTGGGGATATGCATGTGTGTGTGCTTAGCGAACTCACAATTAGCGTTTAGTTCGTGCAAGTTGTGAAAGCAGCCTAACTGTCTCCACAAATCAAGCCGTATAAGTTGCCCACGCGAGTGGCTCTGGTATCAGAGTTCTGGCTGGGCGGAGCTTGTCGCGTGAACACTGACCCGCGGCATCGGGATATCGGCTAACTTTACCACCGCCGTTTAACCTAATGTAACTACACTAGGGACGTTTAACTTACCAGCCATTGTCGAGCGCAGTGGCCCAGTGATAGTCTCTCCTTTCGCGTCCGGGGAAATATGACGTGTAAAGACGCCACAATTATTTCCACAATTTAGTGTTGTGCCCCAGACATGCTTTGCTTGCTCCCGATACGGGCGGAAACGCACACTCAAGCCCTGCATCACAAAGACGGCATGAAACATTGGGTGTTGATATTGGGCTAGGATAGAGCACCGAGTTCAAAAGTCAGTCAACTGCGCCATGAAGTACCGGCACGAAAATCAGCGTAGAGTTTCCCCCGTGACTTCAGAAGTACTTCACAAAGTCCGACGTATAAAGTTTCATGAGAAGCCAGGTAGGGTCGTTGGAGACTGAGAAAGGTCAATTAAACGCTATAGAAACAGCAGGCCAATCCAGTAATTTCTTCCCGCGCGCTAATGTCTTCACGCGTTGAAACTTTCAAACATCATTGCAGAGCAGGGTGACGATATTGCTGTTCAACCGCTTTGCCACTTCCACTTACAAGAACCATTAATACTAATTCGTCCGCCAAAGAGATTCTGCATGAGTTCCGTTACCAGAAAGGCACGCGAGACGGCGCTGAACAGCTTCTACGACGTGACAGGGAACGTGTTGCTAAAATCACTGAAATAATTTCCATTTAAGTCCTTTATCTGCACTATTACGATGCACTCTTTACTTCGGGTGCCAAAATAGAATAACAACAAATTGCAGAAATCACTGTACATAAATTTTCTGCAGTTTCTGCATAATAAATGAAATAAATAATAAATGTCTGCAATGTCTGCAGACAGTTGCAGAAATCACTGAACTACGACAAAACTGCTCTCTTCAGGCGAGATTGCATTTAGGCTGTTAAAGGGAATGCTCTGCCCTTATATGGGGTTTTGAACTGAAAAAGTCGCCTTGAGAACCTTTTGATGCAGTTCACGGCCATACCCTTTTTAAGATACAAAGCCCTCTGGTTCCTGAGTTATACGCCCGCAAAAGTGGCAAAAGGCTTATTGAGGGACTATTTCAAAGCCACCTCCGCAATGATGATGCCATAGAAACGGCATACGATCACCGTGATATTGCAGGCCGTTTTCTGCTTATGGTCAAAAACAGCATGGCCGCTGACACATCCGCAAAAGCGATGATGCGGCTCATATGATACAATCCGCGGAATGTGATTTGCTGTTAGTAAGATTTCGCTGCTGAATGCGTGTCGCGACCGTAAGCGTGAGCACTTTCGGGTTTTGCGGCACTCCTCGTCAACGGGGATTTTTCCTTATAGCTAGGCAATGAGTCAAAGTTATAAAAAAGAACGCCACCGTTTGGAAAAAAATGACATCGAAAAAAGAATGGTGCTCTGCCGAATGTTTTAAAAAGAAGACATAATGGCAGCCCTGTCTTTTTTCTCCAGTGGGTGATCTTTCTTCTTCTACTCACGTGTTCCTTACGGACAGTGTCCTTCAAGCACAACCCCTTGACCTGCATTACCATGAACCCCCGTTGGGACTTTGGAAGGGAGCTCATGGTGAAATGCAGTGTTATGACCGTAAACCCGTGCGGAAATTGTGAGAAAGCCTGCAATTTGATAGTCCCGCGAGCTGTGCAAGACTAGTTTTACTATTGTTGCAGTACTTTCCGGACTCGAGTAAAAGACAAACGAAATCGTGTAAGATCAAGTGAAGTAATACAGCTCTACATAATGTTTCACTCGTACTTAACTGTACTCACATTTACATGTACCTCAGGCGCATACATTATGGAGGGGTGGTCTCAAATGCGCGTAATCAATGACGTAATGTGATTATCAACATGGTGACCACCGCCAACAGGTTCATTGCGACATCACCCACGAACGTCGGCGAATTTCAGCACCGTTGTTTTGCGGTGCCACCGTGAAATCACTGCTTGTGATTCAGCTGCATGATCGCACTCATCAAATATTGCCACCATGGCGCCATTGGTTCCTTATTTTTAGCGTTGTACCCCCGTTGGCCTCTGTATTTCAGGGCTGTGATATCATTGGCCCCTGTCTTTCAGCGCTGCAGCGCCATTGGTCCCTTTGTTTCAGCTTTGCTCCGGAAGACGCTGGTATTGAAGAATCCGAGCGTTCTGACTCTTCGGTACGACGTGGCGCACCCCAGTGCTGCGGGGTCACCAGTCAGCACATTTGACGTTTCTAATCGGTGTGATGCCACTTTTCGGTGCGCCCCCTCGCCCTGATGCCGCCGTCGTTGTGCTTCAGCTGCGCGAGATTAACCGGCACCAGTGGGTGGTGGCCGGCTCGAAGGGTGAACTGGAGCTGGAGCCGCCCATGATGGAGGTGGTGCAGACGCATGTGATCCCCGGCTCCGAGCTGCTCGACACGGACGTCCTGCGGGCCATGACACACCTCGGCTGCTTCAAGGACAAGGAGGCTCTCGTGCACAACCTGCTCTGCCCCGCGTGAGTGGAGACCGTTGGGATCCGATGGATACGCGTCCATTGGGCAACCGCGCAAATACTTTGGTAAACGGTGATCAGCGCAGTGCAGTGGGTATCCGCGGCATTAGTAGGACGTCCAGACTCGTAAGATGTGTGGAAATCTATGAGATATGTGGGATACGCGAAATTTATTGGATCCATAAGGGGCGTCGAGTGCCGTGGGGTAAATATGACACGTGAGGATTTGTGGCTCCGAGCGATCAGCTGCATGGGGTGCGGACGACGGGAAACGTTGAAGCGCGGGTGGGGCTGCTGCTGCGCGATATATTATGCTTCGTAAAACACTTACGACGTGAAGTCTTATCCATGGGTGATTTATTCACCAGGCTAATCGTTCCAGACACTGCTGCTTTAGATAAAATGCTCATGGTGGCCCACGAAAAAGAGCAGAGCTTCTTTTACTTTCAGATTCGCTCCATATAAATGCGCAAGACTGTGCCCGCACTTGAGTCGGCTATCCAATTTTTTAGCTGTACCGACTGGAATTGCGCACATGTGTGGTTACGTTGTCATAATTATTCCACCAGTAATGGCTGCATGAGTGGTCTGCAAACAGGGATTATTGTAGCTGAAAAGCTGACCAGAGTCAAATATTTGAGCCACGCTACACTCATGTGTGGTGTGAGCTGGACATGGTATCAGACGGCCAATTGTAGCAGTACACGTTGCACCGTTCAAATTCACTTCGTGACGATAAAATCCGCAGAGCACGTGCGTGAGTGGCAGTGAAAGACAGCTGCGACGTCTTGGTAGGAAAGACTAGACGCCATGTGAGAAGACTAGGGACAACACATTCAGGATCTTCGTGCGACTCGTGACATTGCTTCAGGGTGGAAACCTTTTTGCGCAGCCTCCACCAGCTGTCTGGCCGGAACGAAAAGTAGACCTTGAGATGCTGACTCTGAATGCGATTTCACATACGGAAAACAGCCATTTCCTCTGTCGTCTTTGCGAATCAAAATGGCGTGTGGAAAATCTCGTTGGGATGTGATGTAAGCCGTTAAGTTAGAAAACAGCCGCGACACGTGGCAGCTGGATTTCCATTTCGGATGGTCTTCCTGGAAGCAAACGCCGGATTGCAGCTCTTGAAAGCAGGAGGCTTTCTACAATACAGGCTGCAGCCGAGCACGTTAAATCACGTAGAAAGCTCCAGCGGGCCTTCGGCTGATAACAAGGTGACTTTTAACGCCTATTGTAATCACCTACTGCACATTTTCACGGCAGAAATTCCCTGGCATACAGAAAATGTCAACAACCAGCCAAAGGGAGCAGCCTCCCGATAGGAGCGCTTGTCTTCCCAAATAGAAAACGCACGAGCCATTCTTCCCGTGACATCAGAAGCGGTCGTGAAGGCAGTTGTTTTGCGTCACAAAGGGAACTTTACCTTGTGTCCTCATGGTTCAGAACCGGTTGTCATTGCATGAAATCCAGCGCTTGCCGCGCGACCTTTTCAGCTTCCCGTTTGCAGCCAGAGGGTGCGTATGCAATATGCCTGGGCTCCACTCCTTAACAGCCGCCATTCATTCTGTCCAGGCCGCAGCAGGCAATGGATGGCTTAGTTCCGCGGCCGCGTGTTCAACTCCATTCATCCTGGCCGACATGCGGCAGCCGAGGCAATAGATGCTCTGGCTCAAACGCGGCCGGGGCCTGCCGGCCATCACCGAGGGGGCGACGTCCGAGGCCGCTGGCCTGGTCGGCTCCCGCCCCGCCCGCGGCCACGGAGTCCGTTGCCAGGGGCTCTGGCGGACTGGATGGCCGGGCACCCGTCTGAGGTCGGCGTGCTCTGGAACCGATGACGTGGCGATGGTTTGTGACGGCTTCGTTTGGTGAGGAACACATTAGCAGAACTCATCGGAGACATACTGGAGAGGAACAATGCTATACTGGTCGAAAAGCAGAATGTGAGGAGACAATTATATTGCTAACATGTAAATATTTTCGGAAAGTTTTGGGATCAAGCAAGCAATGCCTGGTAGATGATGACTGGATCGTTGCCCTCTCCCTAAATCACATGATAGGACACTATAGCATCTACCCCCATCACATCAGCTATTCGTCCAAAGTTACCATCACTTCGTGTCATTCATCCAGTGAGTGAGCAAGCCATTTTCTTACGTCTTTGTGACACCAGCAAAACGTTCTTGCAATGCTCTCTTCTCACTGCCTCTTTTTTAGGGGTGACATGATCCACAATGCATAATATTTCCCTCCGTCTGCCCAATTCTGACTTAGAGCCACCATCCCACCATTATTTGTTCGCGCCCCATGTTTAGGTACAGCTCCCCCAGACGCAATCCCGTTGGAAAATTGAATTTTAATCACGACTGCTGCCGGTGCAGCACTGTCGTGTGAAATGAGCTTATACCGCGCCACTGAACGCGAGTGCGGGATTTGATAACAGCCAAATCCTGCCATTAGGGCGGTGATCTTCGCTTGTGCTGGCGGTTACCAACACAGCATCCATACAGGAACTTATCTCGATGCGTATGTGTCCTGATAAGAAAGCTACCAATGTAAAAGAATGCTTTGATTAAACTGATTCGAAACAAGCCAGAAGATCCAGAATCGTTCTTTTAAGTGACCGAAAGATCCGAAGTAGTTGCGCGCATTTAAGTGATAATGTGTGTGTTTAAACAAGTTAAGAACGTGTGCACGTACTGGGTGCTTGAAAATATTGTGGACATATTTGCAAAGTGCATCTCTTTGATTCATTTAGGTGCATGCATTGTTTGGTACACAGCGTTTTTTTAAGAGTAAAGTGCACGTCGTGGCCATTCAAAGATGTTCTTAAAGCCTGTGTATAACGCTGCTATTTACTTAGCTAGGTCATCCTTTGGTGGCTAGCTACTACACGTGAAAGTTCCGACGTGCCATGATCCATTGCACGATATTCTAAAATATATAGCTATGATGCAGTCATGACAATATTCTAAAATATGGTCATCCATTCTTTCCTTGCGAGTCTTATGTCCATTAAGTGTCTTACGTAAGCACGTGCGGCATGAAATGCGCCTCACCGGTGCCGGGCGATGTCCCAGCTGGGCAGTGGTGCCAAAGCTCAGTGAATTAAATCACGGCACAGTGAATTAAAGCTTCAAATGTAGCGTGCACCAAATGACAAGCGTAATAATTTTTGCACTTGTTCTGCCTCAGCGCTTGTGGAGAAAACTTTTCCGTGATTAGAATTTTGCACTTGCCCGTTCCAGAAACAAGGTGTCGGAAAACACTCGACTTCACCCACCGATGTAAAAGTCTAGCAGCAAAACATTGCTGTTTGGCAGGCCTCTACCATCAGCGGATCTGCAATAGGCACTTTCCCTGTACCGGGCCATCGGGTGGTATACTGCGCCACCACAGCGCCCGGCGCCCTCGTTCAGCGTGGCTGTGCTGTCAATTGCCCGTGCTATGTGCTGCGTCTAAAGGAGGAAGGCCGACGGGTGCAGGGGAAGGGTGGCAGACTGCGCGCGGGACAATTAGCTGGTGACGAATCGGTTCCTCGATTTCTGGGGGAGCGAGGGGCGGGGTCGGCGGATGGGGTCATCTCCTCCGGTGCCCGTCCCGGGAGCGTGTTGCGCTGGACCCCTTCGGGAGGGGTGGTTCTCGGACTGGATCATTGACCTACGTCTCGCCACTCAGGGTCGGCCTGGACTGGACCAGTGACCGGCACGCGTCAGAACGTGTGTGCCACGTTGGTCATCAGGTGTTCGTGCGCTCATCTCCGGGTAGGGTCGAGCTGGATCGTTGGACCACGTGCCGTTTGTTCGCCAACAGAGCGCGCTCGAACGCAAAACATTTACCAGGTTGTATACCATGGAATTGGCCCGCGCTGACCTGGTAATCCAATAATGTGGTTAAAATGAGCGCTGGCTGGGTTTAATAGATGATATAGGATGATGCGTTTTACGAGCAGGTATGAGACCGCGCTCTGCTAAAAATGACATCTTTGAGCACATTTTGCACATTTTTGAGCATATATATATATATATATATATATATATATATATATATATATATATATATATATATGCGTGAGTGTATGCATGTAGGTATATATAATGTTTTGCTTACATTATTTGTATCGCTTGCAACGTAACGTCACACTGTGAACGAGGTAGTCGGTATCGTGGAAAGATATGGTTACCGGAAATGGAAACAACAGTTTACTGCTAACCTCGCCGCATACAGTGATGCCTGCAGGGCATGCAAGGGTTTGGTTTCCTGCTGGTCGTATACTGCCGCAGTGATTGCTGGAGACCGAATGGTCGCACTTTACAGAGCATGATATATTCATGATGTGAGCCTTTGATGCGAGCCCTTGGCTGTGCTGCGAGGAGATTGCAGTCATCGGCCGGCGGTTTGCTGTTCCTGAAGTGTGTGCAGACACGTGAAAAAACATTTGGAGATTGTGATGTCTCTGCGTTGTAATTTTAGGGCGTATTACGTAGAGGTGGCTTATCATAACAGGATGTCGGCTCGCGATGAGGAAGGGGTGTATCTTGCACAAACACTCTTGAACTCTTATTGGGCGCTGTCCTCTCTGAGTTCTCTATAGGGTTCTGCACAACATATGCGGAGCTCCAATTAATGTAAAGAGACAAAACCAATGCTGCAAGAGAGAATACGTTAAGAAATACGCTACTTGGCCCAGTTTTTTCTGCCTGGTTTTGGACATCGGTGTGTCAATGAACGCTTTTGGGACACTAAAACCGTTTTCCCCATGTACCATGAAAAAAGCAAAGGGGAATTGTTTGAATATATCATTGACATAATTGATTTAGTTTGCTTAACCGCGGCTGTTTTTTTTTTTGCGAGATCTGGATGTAGGGCCGTTTGGCGCTCTTGGTAAATCATTAGTCCAATAATTTCCGACATTTTGGGAGAACAAATTCCTCCTCCTCCCCGCGTGCAGTGCAAGCAATGTGCACCGAATTAAAATAGGGTTAAAACCACCTTTCATCGCTGAAAGAATTGGGAAGTCTTTGCCGTCGTAAACCTCCATATCGCCTTTTGCAAAGGGCGCAACGTTGAAATACCAATTCGTTCCAAACACCAAGATCAAGGTAAACCCGCTTGTATAACTCCGGTGACCGTTGCCCCGGTGGCAGCATGCCTCATAAACATTTACATGCGCCCTCCGCCAGCTAGAGAAAGATATAAATTTGCGTAGAAATGGCGCAGTATCATCATCAATCTCCAGCACTGTTCCGATGCGCCCAGCCAGCCTCACGTCTTGACGCCGTCCGCAGTCACAACACGGAGAAGGTCATCTACTTCCTGCTTCTGGAGCGGAAGAGACGCAAGCCGGCCTACGAGGACGACGCCGAGGCGCTGATGAGGGCCAGGTGGGTGGAAAGACCGGACTCCCAGCCGGATCGCATCAAACACCTCGCCACCGGCTCTCGAATAATGGCCGCCTGAAAGGCCTGAAATGTTTCCAGATGCTTCAAAGCAGGAGCAGGGTCTTATCACGAAAGAAAGATTTGTTTGTGCTTGGGAGCTTCTCATCTTCAAGACTGCAGGGCTCTTTTGATGCAGCTGCTATTTTTCACAAGGCGCGTGAAAAATATGCTTTGAGTTGGACAAAGGCATGCGACATTGGTACATTCTATCATCTATTGAAATATGTAGCATCTTAAGGTACGCTGATGAAGATGGACAGATAAAGATGTTATGCCTTAACAATTTATTGCGGCTTTCAGGTGTTTTGAAGACTGAGGTTCACTAGCCGCGCATGGCTCAATGGTTGCGACAGCGTAACTTCGGAAATAACTCGGAGTGCAGGTTCAACAATGTCCGATAGTTCTGAGTTCATATCCCAAATACCGTCCACATCGTGTGCCGGGGATAATGTGCTCACTATTCGCGAGCGTTCAGCAGGCAGCCACTCTGCGTTCCGCCCCCAGGTCGGACTCGGCCGACCCGCCGCGGAAGCGTGTCGACTCGTACAAGTTGAACGGCTCCACGCACCACTACGAGCAGCTGAGCGAAGGCTCGCCCATCATTCCGCGGCGCCACTTCCACCAGTAAGCCGCGAGGAAGGCGCCACGGCGACTCGAAACTCGAAACGGAGGGAAGAGGGGGGGGGGGGGGGGGGGGGGGGGGGGCGAGCTCTGCAGCCTTCAGCGGGGGTCTCTCGCCATAGCTGACAGGGATGCTCGAGTAGAGCGTCCGAGCTGTCCTGAGGTCACTGCCCACCAGCTCGCCGCATCGGTGGGGCCTGTCAGGCCGCACCCAGTAGGGTATCCGGAAGGGTGCTCCGGTACCCTGTCGGATTTGATCCGGGACGAGTCCTGCTCTGCGTCTGCCTGGGACTGACCTTCTCTGGCCTCACCTTGCCCTCGCATCGCTCCGGAAGGGTGCTCCAGTACCCTGTCGGATTTGATCCGGGACGAGTCCTGCTCTGCGTCTGTCTGGGACCGACCTTCTCTGGCCTCACCTTGGCCTTGCATCGCTCCAGGTGCTAGCAGCCTCCGTGGAGGCGGCCCTGAATTTGCCGTGATGCTGGAATTATATGTTAATTATGGCAGAGCTAGCTTGATGCCAAACTGCTAATTCACGCCACCGGTTGTCAATGTTGAGCCGTCGCCCACCATCCTCCATTGTCGCTAATCACTGCCATGTAGCCTTTGTGCAGGATCGCTCCTTATCGTAACCTGAAACATGATCGTTGTGCGATCATGCCGTATCTTTATTTCATTTTCTCCATTGTAACCGCCCCACTGCCCCCATCAGCCACTCAATGACGTCCCCGCCAACTCATGGGACTTAGAGCAGTGTGGGTGGACTGTGCGCCATCACCTATGATTGCCAAGCCACCATCCTGCTTTGTCCCTCGTTTTGCAACGCGAGCTCAATGCCCCAACCACACAAGCTCTACTGGAACTGAAAACATCCTCCAGGACCCAGATCATCTTGCGCGGCCCGCAGCCTCTAGCAGACCATCCCCTCAGGCCGGACGTGACGCGCTCCCTGACCGCCGCCCCCGCCCGGCAGCCGGCGAAGACCGAGCAGCTCCTCCGGACTGAGCCCGCTCTCGTCGTCGACGGTGACACCGACGGCCTCGCCGCTGCCGTCGCCCAAGCTGCTGGTGCGGCCGTCGCCGCTGCCGGCCTCGGACGAGCTGGCCACGCCGCCGGCCTCGCCGTACGGAGCGCCCGCCTACTGGCGCTCGCGGCTCAACACCATCAAGAACTCGCTGATGGGCTCGCCCCGCTTCCACCGGCGCAAACTGCAGGGTGGGTCAGGCGAGGTCGCGCCAGCGGGTGTCGGGACTGGGCGCGTGTGGGGTCAAGGGCGGGTGCGGGGAATGGGGGTGCGGGGTCGGCTTTGGCGGGGGCTTGGCAGAGAAGGTTAAAAAGGGCCTTTGTCAGTAAGTAGCTGTTTGAACCATAACCTGGCCCATTCGCACTGGACGTTGCCGTTTTGCCCAGATGTTTTTTGCTCATCTCATACCTTGCATTGCTGCATTTGTGCGGCATCCACAGCAATCGGGCAGGTAGCAGCGGTTCGTGTCGTGACACGCCGAGGTTCACGAAATATCGCATTGTGGATGGAAACCTGTGATATATATATATATATATATATATATATATATATATATATATATATATATATATATATATATATACGTACATATATATATTAGGACACACCCAACCAAGTGCTCCGCTACCAAAACTAAACGGCATACTTATCTCCAACGTGTTTAAACGTGCATTTTCGTATGGCCGAACAGGTACAATATCCGGGTGTGTAGCGTTTTCCATAGTACTACAATACATAAGGAGAACCAAAATATTTCATGATACGAACAGAAACTGACTTTTGTGGTACATTTCGAACTTATAAAATTCGTAAATGTAACGTAACCTGGCTAACCCATCACAGCGGAACGGGTGAAAGTATGATAAATGCCTCGTGTTGATCTATTGCCAGCGGCCGGCATGAAATTGCCCGTTTAAAGCGGGTATTCTGTGACGTGATATGAGCACAAGTCGTGCTCGCGACGTAACTCACAGCAATGCTTCGTGCTGCGTCCGTTTACGTTCATCTCATTAAGTATGTCATCTTCGTCTCATCTGTCGCTTCATTTCTGTCGTGGGAAATAAGAAGCTATCGCTGCACTTTCTCCGTATAAAATTGGCCACAAAATATTTTGACCTTCGTCTTCGCACCGAACAGTTACTTTATTCGTTAGTCGCTGAAGAGCGGTTTAATCCTCCACAAGATAATTGTTAACTTCGTTTCCATTTAGTTAGTGCCATATCGTCATGAATGGTTCACACAAAATTACCTCAGCCCTCTGCATCTAAAATTACTAGATGCGGTGTGACGTAAAGTAGCAGGTAGGTCAGCTGGGGTTTCAGTATGCTGGTGCCTGACGGTATGGTAATAGTTGCTCAATATGAGATCGTTCGATCTGCATCTGAGTTCACAGGAAAGGCTCCGTCGGTCTGAAGTCTGATGGGTTTGACAGCCAGGCCCGGCGGCACGTCTCCCGTCTTCCGGTGAAGCCATTCATTGATTTTAGCGTGCCGCCGCCGGCCGGCTGCACCAGCGGCGGCGCCTACCACGGTCCGAACAGATGCGGTTGCTTTGAGTTCGGTGTCTGCGGCCGCCCTGACGCCAAAGGGACACTCCCTGGTTAGACTTGGTGCACCAGACTACGCTGCATGAGAAGCCGTATTTGCTGGAAAGGGTGGCTGCGGACAGGGTGGCTGTTGAAAGGGCGGCTGTGGATGCGACGAATAGTTCAACATCTCGCGTGGTGGGATGCGTATACGAAGGTGGTGTATACTACATTCATTATGGGCGTAAGGTGCTCCTCTGGCCTGCATAGTTTATTGCGGAGCTATGTGACCAGCGGCGTACGTAAGAGGTGAGATGATGACACTGCCAGCCGCGCTTTGAAATCACAGACCCTAGACCTTACGCCGATGGAGGCGATGTGATGTGTTGGTGTTACAATTAGGTGAGACCACGCTAGCGTTTGGACGTTACCGGTGGCCATAGCTGGAGGCCATTCTCTGCTCAGTGGCTGGGTGCTGTGAAGTCCTAGCTTGGCGAGACATGAAGGGATGCCGGATCCTGTTCGAAAGATAGGATGGAGCATGTGTATACTTATTCTACCATATTACATTGTCGTAGTTTCAGTAACTATCTAACTAGTTCCCTGGTTCATCGAACAAAATGGTAGAATCAGTGTACCAACGTGCTAAAAGTGTTTGACAATATTTGCCAGACAAGTGTGTTGAGCAGGTGCAGATTGGTGGGCGAGAAGCAGTCGCCAGCGGCAGGGTATAGACTCGCAAAATCAGTTGGGGGGGGGGGGGGGGGGTAATTCAGGGTCGGTCGACTTAAAGTACCGCCAAATGCTGATTCCAACGCGGATTCGGGTAACGCTATTTTGCCATGTTGAGCAAAAAGAACTGATTTTATATTTTCAGTTTTCTTGCGCTTGACGTTATGCAGGAGAATTCCGATACGATGCTTGTCAACGTTCCTGTGTTGCTTCTTGGGGCATCCAGTCCAAAACCATATACAATCGCACTGCAATGCAGATCGATATGAGCCGAATTAAAGTGCTTAATCGTATAGGTTGATTTTCAGGGTTAATCAATGGTTTTGAGCTAGCAACGCTCCGTGGACAGAATCGCTAACCATCGTATGCTGCCATCTCGTATCTCATGCTCTTTTTCTCGCATCCACGTAAAACTTTGCGCTCTTTTCATTCTTTTTGTTTGGAGTTGATTTCACCTACGGATCGCACCTCTCAGAAAGAAAACTTAGATTTCCAACGGCATCTAAATTATAAGATCTAGCCCTTGATTACGTATATGTACACTGATTAATGTTTGAAACCGAGCCAGCGCCAAGGACCTTACAACATAATCGCATGTGGTGCGATCATGGAATGAATACTGACGGCAATTCGAGAACGCAAGCCCATTGGCCATGTCCACACTGATGTCACGTCGTTTCAGAGTTGAAATGCCAGCCCGGGCTCTAATGGAGGTGTTCATCTGGGCTGTGCCATGCAGGTCATGTACTGCATATGCCCCTCAGAAAATCAGCCGAAAAGCCTTCGAAATAGGGTCATCGCTGCTTGGTTCTGGAGGACGCTCATCGGCGGACGCTTGACGTCAGTTTGCGCCTTTTTGTGTCATGTGCTCCTGTGTTGTCAGCGTGTTGTACAACAGTTGTTTTGACCGGAGTATGAGGTCCGGAACTTAGAATCTGGTCGCATATAGTATAAACAACATACTTACCCGTCGCTCCACTAAATGTAATAATTTGAAATCCTGCACTGCACTCAGGCTCGTACGACCGGATAAGTGTAAAATTCGACACAGATACGACGCATTTGAGGTAAGAATGAGACCAATGATGCCATACTGTTTTAAGTGCATGATCTTGAAATTCTGGGGTCCTGTTCGAGCCTCATCAGTGCCAATCCGCCGCTCACTGGTATGGCTGACACGTTTTGTTGAGACTGCGTCATAATTAAAGCGCCTGACAGGGCCTCGTGCCACAATCCTTTCATCGGTCGCGTCGGTGAAACTATTGGGGTCAAGTATGGTCTTCTGGTCGGCGTCTCGCGTTATTGAATATGCAAAGTTCTGCTGAATGGCCAGAGCCATTCGCTACCATTCCTGCCTTAAATTAGGAACATAAAAACCTGACGGTTAAGCCGATGGACGTGACAGATTTAATACAAATCACCGACCCACTGAGTCATGATTTGACTCGATCGCATAAAACAAAAGCATGTCGGACATGGGAACATGTGCGTCCATGGCGGATGTCGGACGCAATCAAGTGGTGGGGATCGCAAAGCGGGCGGCTTCGCAAATTTGCAGCGAAGTCACCAAGAACACACCAGCGAGCAGTCGACCGTCAGGTCAAGTCAGGCATTGTGTAACCCATCTCCTCTCCGTCAGTTGTCCCCTAATGGCAGTTGCGTATGTTTTATTCACGCATGCAACCCGTTGGGAAAGCAGTTCTCCTTCGACAGCCCCACCCCCCCCCCCCCCCGAGACCTCTTGCGGGGCGATGTTATTCTTGCGCCTCTCGCGGGAGCTGACATGCTGTTCGGCCAGCGTGTCAGAACCGTCCCGCCCCCCCCCCCCCCCCCCCCAACCCATCCCTCTCCCGAGCCGAACAGGCCGCTGGCGATCGAGCGCCGACCGAACAGCCGTCTCAGCGGGAGGAGAGGGGAGGGGAGCGACGGCGAGGGCTGGCCGCGACACTGCATCCGTTTGACAGCGATGGATGACGGCGGCGGCCGGTCGGTTGGCCGTTCGCTGTAGTGCTTCCGGCCGGTGACGGCCGACCCGGCTCCAACTAATCGGATCAGGTGTCAACGCCGGACCGCGCGCAACCAGCGCCCGTCAGGGAGCAGCGGTCTGCTCTCAGCGGTCTGTAGCCGCGGCCGGCCGGCGCCCGTCAGGGGCAGCCGCCTGCTCTTAGCGGTCTGTAGCCGCGGCCGACGGGCGCCCGTCAGGGAGCAGCGGTCTGCTCTTAGCGGTCTGTAGCCGCGGCCGACGGGCGCCCGTCAGGGAGCAGCGGTCTGCTCTTAGCGGTCTGTAGCCGCGGCCGACGGGCGCCCGTCAGGGGCAGCCGCCTGCTCTTAGCGGTCTGTAGCCGCGGCCGACGGGCGCCCGTCAGGGAGCAGCGGTCTGCTCTTAGCGGTCTGTAGCCGCGGCCGACGGGCGCCCGTCAGGGGCAGCCGCCTGCTCTTAGCGGTCTGTAGCCGCGGCCGACGGGCGCCCGTCAGGGAGCAGCGGTCTGCTCTTAGCGGTCTGTAGCCGCGGCCGACGGGCGCCCGTCAGGGGCAGCCGCCTGCTCTTAGCGGTCTGTAGCCGCGGCCGACGGGCGCCCGTCAGGGGGCAGCGGTCTGCTCTTAGCGGTCTGTAGCCGATCAGGAACGGTCTGGTGGCGGCTTGAGAGAGAGAGAGCGATATATATATATATATATATATATTTATATTTATATATATATATATATCGTATAGGTGCGAGGACGAGCTGGACCCTTGATGCCGGCAGACATAGTGTCCATAAACGGTGAAGAGGGATTGAGAATGAGCTGACAGTACGCTAATATATCCGTCACCGTCGCTAAGTTGTCGCTCTCTACACCGGTGCCGGTAAGTCCACGCATCCCATCTGGGCGAGCGAAAGTAGCAGGAGATAGCGAGCGAAATGAGCGACCCCGTGCCCTTGCAGTCGTTTCTGGGCTGCTCTGACGCGGTCGATGGCACCATGTTTCCCCTGACCTCCATCAGTTATGGCCGACTCGGCTGGCCTCGGCCCAAGCCGGCGGAATCGTCCTCCCAATGATGGTGGTCGCCGCCCGCCGGCGGCGCTGACGTCGTAGACGGAGGCTCGAGCTCTCGTGCCCTGCCCCCGCCCGTCACTCGCAGGCGGCACGTGACACCTGTGTTGCTTTAACTGCTCCGCCCACAAATAATCAGGTGTTTAACCGTGCTGACACGCCTGCCGAGAGCGCTCTCCTGTCCCTGCCCCCACCCCCCCCCCCCACACACACACTGACAGACAGTATCTTCCACATCCGCTGACTGACCCGGACTTGCAGCACGGTGAGCGAATGCGTCAGAAGTAATCAGACAGATGTCCAGCCGCGATATGAGTCATATTTTCAGATCTGTGTATCCGGCGTGCGCCCTGGAATAGACGGGCGACCACGGACTTTGCAGCATTTTCTTCTGTATTTATGAAGTGTGATGTGGAGCTGACATGCATCACTTACTGATGAAGACACATTTGTGATTGTCTCATCGTGCTTGGCGGTGGTGCGGTTGGTGCTGCGTTGGTGCTGCGTTGCATGATGGATAACTTGTCCCAGAAGTTCTTTATGGATTGGGCGAAGCTGGTCGCAGAAGTTATCACGTGCTAGAAAGGGCGTCGCCATAGAGGGGTTAGTTTTGCCGTCCATGGGTGCGGCACTCACATCTGAAAATTTGGGTTTGTAGGCTAAACTTGTTTTTCCTATCGATGATTATCTGCATTGATGCTGCACAGCTATCATATTTCTCGCCTTTTGGCTGCTTCGAAATTATTGTAAACACAAAACGTCCTGCTCAGTGAAGTATTTGGTAATAATGAATTATCATTATTGCTACCAGAAGGTAAACTAAAAGGAAAAAAACGTATTGTATGGTTAGTTTCAGTTACGCCGATCTTGAAATCGCGATTTTTTCATTGCTAGACTTCCCGTGGACACCTGTCACCTTTTGTCTGCCATTTATGTAGGTAACACGCAATTTGCGAGTCTCAGCTCCTCCTCACACCGTGCCGAGTATCAGCTCCTCCTCACACCGCACTTAGTCTCAGCTCCTCCTCACACCGCACCGAGTCTCAGCCCCGCCTCACTGCTTGCCGAGCCTCAGCCCTTCCTCACCCCGCGCCGAGTCTCAGCCCCGTCTTACACCGTGCCGTGTTGCAGTGCCGTCTGACGAGACGCGCCTGACGCCCGAGTCGTCGCCCGAGCTGACCAAGCGCTCCTGGTTCGGCACGCTTATGGGCTCGGAGCGCGACGAGAGCTACACCGTCATCGTGCGCAGCAAGCCGCTCGCCATCGTCAAGGCCGACCTCATCCACTCGTTCCTTTCGGTGAGCGGCCGAATCGCGTGGGGTAAGCTCGCTCGATGAGCGGCCCAATCGCGTGGGGTAAGCTCGCTCGGTGAGCGGTCCAATCGTGTGGGGTAAGTTTGCTCGGTGAGCGGGCCAATCGCGTGGGGTAAGTTCGCTCGGTGAGTGGCCCCATTGCATGAGGTAAGCTCGCCCGATGAGCTGGCCCGACTGCGTGGAGGAAAGCTTTCTGGGTGAATGGGCTGTACGGAGTGAAGATAAACTCCGCATGAATAGCAAAGCAGTAAAGCTGGGTACCGAACTCGCTCAGTAATTGAGGTCTATCCAGCTGTAAGCCAGCGTTAGGTACAGGAGGTTCATTCGCATGCATGTGCAAGAAAGATTGCATTTCCGTTAACTCCATCATCTACTTTTCGCCAACGCCACATACTTCTCAGCGAGGCGCGAAGTACCGATAAAGAGCTTTCATTCCATGTACAACAGATTTTCACGAGGGACGGTCCAATCGCTCTGTATAGCTGACCTCGAGTGCTCTAGTGCTCGGAGCTGAAGGGCACTTGGCCGGTTGGTTCGTATCAGTCCAATTGGACCGTGACCACGATCGGCGCGCGCTCTGGCCATTACGCTCATTGGAAACGCCCTGCTGCCCGTATCAGCGGCAGTGCTCCTGAGGGATTTACAATCGCGCTGGTGTGCGCTGGAATCGCCGCTATCTCATTTGTATTGGTGTTCCGTAGGCACGCTGCATGAACGGTGTTACGGGCCCTGCGCCTTGCTAATTAAGTTTTGCCGGGAGGAACAAGCAAGATGTGCTCAGTTTTGAATTGCGCGATAACTCCATCGACTCAGAAGTGTCCTTTGCCACATCGGCTTCTTCACACAAATCTTGAGCAGGTGCTCTTGGTGTGTGATTCATACGACTGATATGAAGCCAGAAAGGCTGTCAACACCAGCCGTTCGGTAATGTCAGATTCTGCTGCGCGTTGTCAACACCAGGCCAACCGTTTGATGCTGGGGACAGAGACGGACACCAGACGTGGTCGACTAGCCATGCGTGTGGCCACGGTTAGCGAGCACGAGCCATGAAGCCGAGGTCAGCGGCGGCCGGCGGGGACCTGATCCGGCGCCGCGGCCGCAGTCTGGCGGCCCCGTCGCCGCCTGTCGCCCCGGCTGGCGTCGGTCGCCTTTCGCGCTCATGCCGCTGTTTAGTGTCCGCGCCAACGTCTGGCCGTGTAAACATATCTCCGTCGCTGGCTCGCTGTGTCAGCGGCCGGACTCGGGGTCGGCGGTCGGTCGATAGTCCGGCGACGTTGTCTCTCATCCCGTTGATCTCCCGGATGCTGCGACCTTGGGGAGTCGCCTCTGGGCCGCCGCGCCCACTTGCTTAGTCGGCGGTCGCTTTGATACCTGATTCGTCGCATATCGGCCTTTCTAGCACCATATCCCGACTGGCGTCCCTGGTGCCCCAGCCACTGTCGTGGTCCTCCGGCTCCCTCCGCCGCCTTCTCCACCGGTCCCTCCACCGCCTTCTCCGCCGGTCCTTCCGCCGCCGTCGCTCCCGCTCCCTCCACCGCCTTCTCCGCCGGTCTCTCCACCGCCTTCTCCGCCGGTCCTTCCGCCGCCGTCGCTCCGGCTCCCTCCACCGCCTTCTCCGCCGGTCCCTCCGCAGTCCGACGCGCTCCCCCGCCTCCCGGGCGGCCGGCCCGGACGTCGTAGTGGCCCCAGCCGGGATCGATGGTCAGCTCGCTGCCCCCGCTTCCGATGTCACGTCCGCCGCCACGTCCGGACGCCACGTCCGGACGTGGCGTCCGGGCCCGCCGCTGGAGCCGGGCCAGCTCTGGACGGGGCCGCCTCCGCCGCCGCCGGACGGGCTGACCTTGGCCGGGCGCCTGTCCGCCCGGGGCGCGGGGACGGGCCGAGGCGTGCTCGGCGGGCTTAATGAGGGGGAAGAGAGCGAGACGAGGGCGGGAGGCGCGGGGGAGGACGGCGCACTTCCAGGGGCCACCGCTGATGTCTGCTGAGACACTGACGGGTGCTGCAAGCTTGCGTTACTTATGTTGACTGCAAGGCACTGGAGATTGTGAATTCAGCTAGTGCGGAATATAACAACAGTTCCTCATGCTTAAAACTTTTTTTTCATTTCGAGCGGATTGTTTGTGCTTCAGACGGTGGGCACGCATGCCAAGTTACAGAACACATGGTAAAAAGGGTCAAGCCAGCTCCAGCTATTCTCGTACACGACGATTTGTTCAAACAATACTTCTTGCGATAAAAAAAGCCCTGTGCTGACCCCCCGAGCTCACCGCCGGCCTGGTAACGGCGCCAGTGTCACGTGGTCGCCCAAGTGGCCTTGAGAAGTCATCGTGGGCAGACGCCGATCTTCACCCCGATTTGCGTCTGGGCTATTCAGTGTGTATGACTGTCCTGTAAGTGTGAGGTGCCACGGGCAATGGTGTTAGACGAAACCGCAGGTAGTGACACGTACTACATGATTCCCGGTGATTCAATGCCTAAGAAGATGTGAATTAATTGGTTCATGCTTGACTAATCATATGTTGGTGCGGGCGTGAAGCTGTTTTTGCAGGATATATATATATATATATATATATATATATATATATATATATATATAGTCCATGACAGCTGTAAGCATTCAATCCTTGGTTTCATGTCTACAAGACAAACGATCAAAAACTCTGGCGCTCGTTCATAATGCTGTCAAACATAATGGTGTCTCCGAAGTTTGTCAGACAATGTTCACCGCCTGTGATAGAACTGCCAAATATCCACATCGCTGACAAACGGCTAACGGCTATTGCTGTGACGTATCGTCAACAGAAATGTGTTACAAACATGTCAAACTAGTCACGCGCGATTTCTTTTTTATCTGTCCTATTGCATTACAAAGGTTTTATAATGGAACCCCAAACAACAGAGAAGAGAAGATGAAATGTTGCAACCGACTAAGTCTCATCGTTAAGCCCTCTTTTCATGTGGTAATTTCCACTCGAGTTCTAGTAGTTTGGAATGTCACGCCTGACATCCCGAAATCCACTGGGCTGACGCCATTTTTAGGGCTCTTACTGAATGCTGCGGCATGAAGATTCTTTTCACATACTTGGCAGAGATGACGTAGTTTGATATGGTTGATGTTTTTTTAACTACTCAACTGTGTGGTAAGGGGGTGGCTTAAGACACAACCTGCATTCAGGAGCTATGTTTTTATTTATAAACGAACAGTTTTGAAACGGCAGTTGTAAATTTCAGTGTGCTCTAAAATACGATAAAAGGTCGAATTTTTGCGGCTTATTTTGTAATGTTCATAAGGCTACAACAGGTGACGTTCTTGTTTGTATCCATGGAAAAATACAACAAAGACACTTCTCAGTTACTCTCGCGATGGACGGGTGCAAGAATGCCAGATCGGTATATATGATATTGATATTAATCGTGGGCCGGTTCGATTATCACTCAGGGCCTGCCGTCAACATTTCTGTGTGCCAGTGTCAGGGACGTGGCCAAGGCACGGGGTCATGTCGCCCCTCCTCTGTGGTAAGAGGGTCACACTAGATACTGGGGGATTACGAAGGTATTCGGTTCAAATTTACAGGAGTTCAGAGAAAATCTAGCATTGGTCTCCCCCTCAATTGAGGGGGAGGGGCGGGCAAATCTTCTGGCTACGTGTACGAACGGTGTAGTAAGCAAAACAAAAATGAGGCACAGGAAAATCATGTGAGTATGTTATGTGTTTCCTGCATACATGTCATTATTGAAGGCTCCCAATAGCCCGAACTATGTTATCGAATTCTTATGCTGAAAATAACTGACCTTAAATCTACCAGGAGGTACTGGTTAAGAGACATCGTCGAGTAATCATCGATGTATATCAGCTCAATTAACAATATGTACATGCGTCCGCATTCACCTGTCCGTACAGTCCGTCACCTATAAAAGACAGTTTGGTACTGATAAAAATCACTTGCTTCATCCCATTTCAACCTAGAGAACAAGCGTGAGCGATTGGTAAACGCGCGCCCATAGGTGTTCGACCAATTCAAGGCAGCCAAACCCACGTCCTGCTGCAGTGTCGGGGTCGGTATGGTCGTGCGTTCAGGCCTGAGCCGACTGAAGAACTCACACGCTTTTTAATCAGAATCGTTCTGCGCGCCTCTTGTCTCATCACGCCATTTTAGATCGCTGCTCTCCGTCAAATTGCCAAACTAGGGCGCCAACTTCCCGTTCTTAGAGAGGCCGGAGGAAGTTTGTGAAGGAGCCCGACTCCGGTCACCGAAGTGATGATTGCGAGGACGAGGTGCTGGCGTAACCAACGAGGTGCTGGCGTAACCAACGCAGTGCTGGCGTAACCAACGCAGTGCTGGCGTAACCAACGAGGTGCTGGCGTAACCAACGCGGTGCTGGTGTAACCCGACGATACCGACATCGCCAAACACATCTCAGTATTTTTCGTCTCCGGACATACAGCTCCGGCTTAGATCGCAGTCAGACATCCCTGAAGACCACCTGGAGCCGGATCTATCCGGATCTAAGCTCCGGCTTAGATCGCAGTCATACATCCCTGAAGGCCACCTGAAGCCGGATATTCCTGCCCGGATGGAGAGCAGGTGCGGGAACTGCACTGCCGTCGTCGCGTACCGTGCGTGTGGGCGGAACATTTTTATCGACGATCAATTATTTATAATTTATCGACAATCGACAAGTCGATTAGCCAACCAGATATGTGCTATTACACTGCATTTCTTTTCCCCATTCAATGCTGTCTTGATGGAGTGTCCCGATGCGACCCTGTCAGCGGTGACGCTAGCTCCGCCGCCTCGACCCTCGTCCGGGGGAGAACAATTAGCGGCCTGTCAGGGGGCGCCGACTCAGCGCCCCGTTAGCGGCCGGCCCGGCGCCGGTCCCCGCTCGGTTCCGGGTTGCTGGCGCGGAGCTCCGTTGCAACATCCGCCAGAGAGAGCTGAGACCGGGCCTGGAGAGGGGGGGGGGGAGGGGGCTGAGATCGGTCGCTGCGCCCGGCGCGTCCAGCGGGAGGCGACTGTCGCAGAACTGGTCGGGCGTGGGCGGAACGAGGCGCGCTGGCCCCGTCTAGTTGCCTTTGATGGCCTAAAGGCCGTCCTCAGCTGTGGGAGATGCGTGGGTAAAGTTCAGAGATCGGATTTCTGCACGGGCGCTGCCTTTGGATGAAGCTACCCGATTCACTTTGTTGGAAGTTGTCCGCCGCAAATTGTTTCCGTCGTTAGATCCGATCTGATGCTCTCTAAAGGTGACTGCTCCTGAGCCGATGTCTGATCTCCAGCGGAATTCAGAGAAGTGCTGGAGCCGGTGACATACCAGTGATGAAACCCTAGACTGATGTCAGCTTGCAAAAATGTTCAAAACGGTTGAATAAAACCCCTGAACTTTGCGATTCATACTCTGATGTGTCCCATACACGAAAAGACAAGCGGTAGGGAAACCCAACAGCGTATGCATAAGGCATGTGTTGGCGAACAACTTGAGACATAACTCTTAGCCCGCATGAACCTCACCGTAACAATCGCGATGATTTAATCTTGTCTTGTTCTGATATCTGATCATAGCGACCTCGCCACAAGTTTGACGATCCTCTGATCAATGATCACACTGTAAGACGCCTGCTTAGGGGTGGCACTGGCGAAGGGAAGACAGACGTGAGTAGGCGGTCACACATATGATAGCAAAACGTAAGCGAAGTGGAGTTAGTCGTTGTCACCCGCCATTGGAAACAGACCCAAATAACTCGCACCAATGCGTTGGAATACTCCTCTTTCGTGATTTCGCAGGCAGAGCTCCAACGACATACACCGTACGCCACCAATTTACAGGAGATGTTTGAATGCTGCTTGGCCGAGCCGGCCAGGGCCGATCCATTTTAATCGGTATAAATATTTTAATGTGGGCTGATGTGTGTGTTCTGAGTTCTTGCACAACATTTTATGAGAACTTGTATAATCTATCGCAAGTTGGTCACGATGAATAGGTTGCACGATTTTGTAGCTTTCATGGCTCGACATGTCTTGGATTTGAACACAGCTTGTGTTTTCGGGACCCGTCCTGAAGAAGGTGGCATTGGTCGTTTCCTGGTCTGTTACAGGCGTACATACAATGTTCGATTGCTCAGTCCGCTTACAGTTTTGCGCTAGAAGCCATATTTGCATAACGTATGCAGTTGCTTCCATGTCTTCATCTTCCGTGATTGCCAAAACACCATATCAACCCTACAAAATACGCCTCAGAAATGTATACGGCGAATTAATTATTCGTGCCCGAGTGTGCGCAACCGGTTGCACAAATAGACCCACACGTCTGCCAGTATGACTGACCGTTCTCTCCTCCGTTAAACGGTGCTGGTCCCGTACAGTGACCCTGGTTTGTCGATGTCAGAAACTGCTTTCGACTCATGTGTTTCCGTCTGAGCCACAGCGTCAGCTGACCTCGACCCCGTCTGTCGTCAGATCGCTGACCTCAACCACAGCGTCAGCTGACCTTGACCCCGTCTGTCGTCGGATCGCTGACCTCAATCACAGCGTCAGCTGACCTTGACCCAGTCTGTCGTCAGATCGCTGACCTCAGTCACAGCGTCAGCTGACCTTGACCCCGTCTGTCGTCAGATCGCTGACCTCAATCACAGTAAGCTGACCTTGACCCCGTCTGTCGTCAGATCGCTGACCTCAGCCACAGCGTCAGCTGACCTTGACCCCGTCTGTTGTCAGATCGCTGACCTCAGCCACAGAGCCAGCTGACCTTGACCCCGTCTGACGTCAGATCGCTGACCTCGCCCACAGCGTCAGCTGACCTTGACCCCGTATGTCGTCAGATCGCTGACCTCAGCCACAGCGTCAGCTGACCTTGACCCCGTCTGTTGTCAGATCGCTGACCTCAGCCACAGCGTCACATCGCCGATGTCGTTCCGTGTTGAGTACCGGCGCGGTGCGGCCGGGCCGGCCGTGTTCCAGCGCCAGGTGCGCTTCCAGGTGGACATCACGCCCGTCTCGCAGGGCGACGACGAGTGCCTGTACGCCATCAACTTCACGCTGGTGTCCGGTGAGTGCCGGCGAGCGAACAGCCTCACTCTGGCGTGGGGCGAGTGTTGGCGAGCGAGCGGTGGGGTCTGTGCGTCATTAGTGTTACAATGATACTGGGTGAGTGTCGGTATGACGTCACACCAAGCGGTGTTCGCTAGTGCGCATACGCCACTTACTTCACGTTCTCCCTCGATGAGTGCTGTAGGATGTAAGCAGTAATGGTCAGGTTCTGGTTCCGAATCATCCGAACTGGCATGAAGCAAAGACAAATGTTATGCGAACAGCACACGTAAGAATGTGCTATATGCATTATGATAATCAGGCCGATACTTGCTCTAGGGACTGGCAGGAGGGGCGGTTATTAGGGGGGGGGGGGAGGGCAAAGGATCCCAAGATAACACTGATCATATGGTAAATTTAAACATTGCCAACTTTCTAAATGGATTTCTGTCTGGCACCTCGGCTTCACTGTACTCCACCGCACCAGAGCTCCTACTTGAAACGAGCCGGCGGGTGCAATGAACAATATTAACGGTCGCTATGGCTTCAGTCAGATCAAAGTGGCTTTCAGCTTGAGCTTTGCGGCTTGCGGCTTTGCGGTGTGTGTGGGTGTGGGTGTGGGTGTGGGTGTGGGTGTGGGTGTGTGGGTGGGTGGGTGGGTGTGGGTGTGGGTGTGGGTGTGGGTGTGTGTGGGTGTGGGTGGGTGTGGGTGTGGGTGTGGGTGGGTGTGTGCGCGCGCGTGGGGAGTACGTGTGGGGGGGGGGGGGGTACGCGTGGGGGATGTTATACACAAGTAAATCACACCACAACATGGGCCGAGCAATCCTGCCCCGCACTGCTCATTGTCTCATTTCACGCTTTACAAGTCAGAGAAGCCCAGATCTAGAACAAAAGCCGAATTCATTTTGACGGTTGGTATACATGCAGTGTTGTGCATGGTATTTGACAAGCATGGATTATTTTGGCTAGCTAGCTAGCAACCAATCTAGCAACTACCTAGTGTAGTATATTTATCGACCCGCGTTTTGACTAGTTTCACAGACCTGGCGACTACGCAGAAGGCTTTAACACACAAGATAAGCTCGACCCTTGTCACGATCAAAAGTGCAAGTAAGCAGCTGACATAAGTACTGATATGTGGCTGGTTAAGGAAAGGCGATTTTATTCAGGTGTTTGTCGAGGCTTATGACCCGCTCTGGAACGGCGCGCCGCCACCGCTGGGTGTTTTAATTGAGGCACAATACATGGTCTCAATAATTTTTTGTTGATCCCAATTCCGATGTCTCAGGACCCGAAACAATCAATTTCAGAGTTCCAGGAGTATCATTCCGAAAAGGATGCATAAAAGTGAACTCAGCAATTGTTTGCCGTCGCTGCGTTAACACGCGTTCGGGTGGAGGTCAACCTGACCCTCCCCCCCCCCGAAGGTTTTTCCGGAATGGTTTCCGAACGGCGCGGCGTAGCAGCGCTGGATTTTGCATAGGTGTAGACAATTGAATAGCAGATCGTTTGGCATCAACATTTAGACCTATGGCAGGTCAAAGTCAGGTCATGGTTTCAGCGAAGGCCATTTCTAGGGAATCATTCAATCTGATCCAACAACGGAGTGTTAGACGAAGCCATACATCTCTGAGATGTTTTCTTAGGTAACACAACACTTAAATGAGCAAATTACATTGACCTAAGGTCAGGTATGAAGGTCACACCAAGGTCAAAACCAACCTGTTTTGTTACTCTAGGGCTTGCTGTGCGGGATTGCTTCTGGTGCTCATTTCGAGTTTGTTGATAGCAGGAATCGCATTATACATATTCCATGGACTTCTTAGAGGTCATAATGTGCCATTGACCTAAAATAACCCATGCCAACGTTTTTTTTTGGGGGGGGGGAACATACTGCCCAGTGTAATCTTTGTCGCTTAGTCAAATGCAAAGCTCAGAACAATCTCGTATGATTTTGGTCACCTTAACCTTCAAAAGGTCAAACAAGGTCAATGGCCTTGAATGAGGATGTGACCTTTTGCTTAGAAACGGTTATCTAGGTTCTGGGGGCACTTTGAAGAATAACCTGGAACTTGCCCTTGTTTGATCTTTTTGACCAAAAGGTCATGATCTAAGAACCTGAAACTTTGACCTAAGTGAGTTCACGTACAGGTCAACGCATCCTGTAAATTTGGTGTCTCTAGCTTTCTAAGTTCCCGAGATCTCAGGGGGAGGGGTGTCAAAGTGACCCCCCCCCCCCACCCGAGCGAAGGGTATCTAGCCGGCCACCCGGGCGCGTGTTAATGGCTTCGTGACTTCTGAGGATGGGGCGTCAGCGTGTGACGTTCGGTAGGCATGATTCGCATACCCCGTCTGTTTTGAGCTTCGCTCACTGAATCATTCAGCCACTGCACCGATGACGCCCTTAATTGCTCTCTTTTCGGCCAAGGGCATGTCTCCTGTTGTTTTTGTGCGGGATGCGTCCCACTGCCTGTATTAATACGAAGCTGCTCTCCGAAGTCAGATGTTGGAGTCGACCATAGCCAGTCGCAAGCGCACGTGCGCACGTGATGTGAAGCGCACTGGACCGGTCCCCATATTCGCAAAGCATTGATATTGCAATTTTCGCATTATTCTGTGCAGAATAAACCACCCCAGCCCCCTCCTCCTAACCTTTCACCCGGATGGTGTCGGGCTGAACTCTGTCCAACAGTTCAACTGTTCAGAACTGTTCTAATCCACATCGGCGCGTCATAACCAGCCAGTCGAATCTCCAAGGCTCCTGAATATACGCCAGGTGCATGTGCCTGGGAGCAAATTACGGCTGCTAAGGGCTGCACGAAGTACTGCATAATCTTTTCACGCTAAGTGATACCTAACGAACGGGCTGTCAAGCTGTACATGCCAAGCTCCGCAAGGGGCATTATGAGTCTTACATATGCTGAATGGTTGCCAGAAACTTCTCTCGTGCACACATGAAGGCAATTACGACGCTCAAATTCTGCAAACTGCTGAGTGGCCAGCCGAACTGCCACCGGAGTCAGGTCTGGCTTTATGCCTTTCATGCCTTCCTTGCAGAGCCTTGGAGTAAAGTTTCAGTCATCGCATTGCCACACGCCTCGAATGAACACCACACGGAACGTTTTTAGGACGCGCGCGGGAACGAGAAATCTGATTTATGAAGAAATCTTGATCTTAACGTGCCGTCCCGGAAAATTCACTGGCTGGCAGGACAGTTGTTCGACGCCTTTGCAGCACTCAGTGAAAGCGTAAAATGAATGGTAAACGATTTCAGAGAAACCATGATGGAATTGTGCTGGGATGTGTCAGGGAATGTTTCAGCTTGTCGGTAAAGATGGGTGAGTCGTCACGCACGGGAAAAGAGATACAGCAGGTGTGGTGGCACTCGCACAATGCCTCATAATGCCAAGTTTTTGATATATGATTAAACGGAACATACTTGTTTCCACGTCTGTTTCACACTAAGTTTTCTGCAAATCTTCCACTGATGAAAGCCGTCCCTTGGTGACCGTTTGTGTTTGCGTGACGCTGCTAGCATTTCCGTCGCGACCGTAAGATGCACACCCGTTCCATTTCTGCACGTATTTACCAACAAATTTAGCCCACAGTCGCACCTCCAGTGCCGTCTGAGCCTGACCTCACCTGCCCTGACCTGATTTGGCCTAATCCAGTGCCACGAGTCTGACGCCACGGCCCGCCGCAGGCAACATCCGTCGGTTTCGGCGCATCTGTGAGCACATTCACTGCCAGGTGTGCTCGCGGCGTCCGCCGCCGTCGCCGCGGGTGGGGCGCAAGTTCACGGCGGACCTGTCAGAGAGCTCGTCGGCCGGCTCCGACTCTTCCGACCGGCTGCAGGCCACCGCGCCCAAACAGGTCAGCTGCAGAGCGACGGAGGGCACACGGGTAGCCCCAGGCCAGCCCCAGACATGGTCCAGAGCGGGGAGTAAAGGTATGTAGAGCATGTCCGAAAAAAACGGGGAATCGGTCCGGCGGAGTGCCCACGCGGATCAGACCAAGCCCCCACCCACCGAGGTGAGAAAGGCGGCCTGGAGTGCCCAGACAGATGTCACGTGCACAGGCTGAGGCAGGCACGGCTCCAGACAGGTCCATCAGCCCGGGCAGACGCCAATAGCCGCAGGCCATCTCAGCTGTGACCGCGCCATCAGTCGCGCCTTTTTCGGCCTGCGCCACGCCATGGCGCAGACAGCCCCCAGGTCTAGATGCGGTGCGCTGCTCACCAGCTGATGGTCGGGTTGCTGGCAAGCCCCGGTTGCAGGGGCGCTATCGGACCCCCCCCCCCCCCCCTTGGTAGCATTTACCACGCCCTGTCCACGCAGTTCGGAGCTCGCAAACAGCGGTAGGAAGTGGGGTGGACAGCATTGCAGCCCGTGAGAGCCTTGTGAGAGCCTTGCTCTCACGTCTCTGGTCCTGCCTGTCGTGTTGTAGAAAACCGGAGCATGCACGTGCCGGCGCGGGTATGGGAATTGGGACAGAGCCAGAGCATGTGGGCTCATGCGCGAGTAGAACGGAAGAGGGGCTGACAGTCCTAACGACTCTAGCTTTTATCGTGTTCAGTTCGAGGCGAACTCCTGCCCGCAGTGCAGCCATTTACGTAGCCATGAGATTAAGAAGAGTGACAAGAGTTGGGCAGTACGGAGGCACTAATGTTGCTTCCGACGCTAAGGCTTACCCGTCATGGAACATCGCCGTAAAGTATAGGCGGGGCTGCGCGAGCTCGGGCGGAGCTGAGAGCCGGCCCGGTCCGAGGCCGTTTTCCCCGATGGGAAACTCGAGAAACGGTATGCCCTACACCTGCCGCATTTCTACGCAGGTCGACGCCGAGCCCGAGGCGGACAACATCCTGGACATGAAGACGCCGACCAACGAGACCGCGGCGCCGGTCGGCGGCGCCGAGCCGTCCGTAGCCGAGCCGACTACGACTCTGACTCCAGCTTCTCCGGCCGAGTCGGTGCCGCGGTCCGTCAGCGCCTCGCCAGCCGCCAGTGACGACTCAACGGCGGCAACGGTCACAGTGACACCTAGCGAGTCCGAACACAACTCGAGCTGCGCCGTGTCGGCGCTATGATCGCTGCCCGGTCCAGGCGGCGCTAGGCAGCTGTTAGTTCGTCGGCGACGCGGCGCGCGTGGCCGCGCGATGGTGGACGGTTGTGCCGGACATCCTGAGCAACGGTGGACGTGCGCCGCTGGACGGCCGAGCGGGCGCGGGATGTGCAATGGGGATGTGGGAGGACAGGCTCGACGGTGGCGCCGCGGTGCGGCGAGTCAGGAAGGCCTGAACTCCGCTAGGCGGCGAGTCCTTCGACATTCCCCGTGTGGGTGACGCCAAACTGTACTGTCGGGTATATCTATGTAGGATGTGGCCTCCTATAATACGTCGGCGTGGCGAGCGTGGCGGGCGGCCGAGCGCAGCGACGTACGAGTGCACAGGTCACGTGCCACCTGTCCAGCGCGGCAGTATGGGTGTTGACGCCGCCGCCAGTACGTTGGTTGCCAGCAGTGTATCCAGCCATCAAGTATTCTAGAGCTCTCACTAGGTGACCATCTGAGCGGCCGTCCGTCCCAGTGATGTGCGATCGCCAAACCCTTCCGGAGTGTTGGAAACTTTGTCAGTATTATCGTCTGAATGTTGCGAGGCCTGGACGCGTGATCTCGTATTTGCTCACCTTTAGGTTGGCATTGCTTTCCTCTGTAGGTCATACCATGCAATTTTCTTTTGAAAGCAGGCACTAAGCTCTGCGGAAAAGCCATCAGTCGCCGTTTATTACCTTTGTCCTGGTGTATTTTGAGTTCAGTGCGTTGGGTGATATTTGAGGTCTCAAAACAGGCCACTAGTATATTTGTAGTATACCTGCCTGTAATATAACACAAAATACTCTGCAAAGCCTCAGTAGAGCGGGAGATTTAAGACACGCTGGTGAGCCAGACACATGCACGTAATGGCCGTCTGACTAACTCGCACCTGGCACCGAGCTCATTCCCAAGAGGATGCGGCATTTGCCTTCAAATGATAGAAAGACATGTAACATTTTTTGAAGCCTATGAGAGAATCCCATGATACAGCCGAGCATGCGTTCCCAGGTGACGCTGCTAGTGTCCAGAGCTTAAACAATTCAGTCCCGTCGACCCGTCATTTTATCTGATGATGGAAAAGTCACCCCTGACGACGCATCATTTTACAGTGAATCGGGACTACAAACACCCTCTGAACTGAAAATATCTACTAATGTTACTATATTCCTCACAGTTGTTTGACGGCAGCTGTTCAAAAGGTGCAGTTAAAAAGGTTGGTACGTGAGTCTTGGATGTAAGCTTGCTGAGATATCCGAAACAGCTAGAGCACTGGTCAGAATTCTGTAGCAATTTGGTTCATCCCTGCGGTCATCCCTGTCACTCTTTTCGCTTTCGTGCTAAATGCGTAGCCACATCACAGTAAGCAGTGTATACTCTGACACGCTAGCTCTCCCGTCATAAGACGAATAACGTTCTCGGTGATACAACTCGTTTCAGACAAACCTTTGCCTCTTCGGAATTTAAAAGCACTGCCCGAAATGGAAACATCTCACGCAAATGCTGACCCCTTTTCATGCGCCAAACTCAGAAATCAAACATTATTCGTAACACCCTCAGGTACATAAGTTATTATCGGGTCTAAGGTCTCGATTCCAACATGCTCGAGTGTGGCTACCCTATGTAACAGAATCTGAAATCTCTGAGATGCGGTCTTGGGCAGGGCGACTGGCAGAGCCTAAACCTCGACTTAACCCAGATATGTTCTCAGGTATTCTGCCTGCTCTGTACCGTGTGGTGTTTATGTTCTCAACGCATGCCTCCGTCTACCCTTGTGCCGCCGCTAAAACTGTCTATTCTTGGTATGTTCCGTGCGTGGATGCAGTGTGATATTTCTCCTGTATTCAATGTGCGTGGGTGTCCGTTTCCTCGTCCCGTGCTGTACTTCCCTCTATCCGTATTGTGGGTAACTCTTCTCGAGCTGTCTTTAATGTTGTCCGCTCGTCTTCACCTCATCTCCGTTCCAAAGCGGCTCGCGCGTTCATTGGAGCCCCGGCCGGGTGCCGCTGGATGACGACTCAACCCCGCTCTAATGGCTCCGCTTTCTAGCTCCGGGCTCGGGTAATGGCAACGCGGGGGTGCGGTCAGGTGCGAGATCCAGAGAAAGCCGATGAGAAACGCGACTCAAGGTGAAGCACTGGTGAGGACAGCACATGACGTGGGCTTCCAGCCAACAAAATTACCGCACCCACAAACGCAAGTTCGTGGATGCTGTCACATTTCCTTATCACCCTGTGCAGTCTTTTCGCGACCTCCTCTGACCCACCTCCCATACGGGCGTACCCCTGCAGCCGCGGTTCCCTGGATGAATGTGTCTCCCTCTGTCCCACTGCTGCGTCCATGTGAGGACCAACCACCCCGTCCCAGTCCCACCAGTCGACAGGGGACAGATGTTCCGATCCAACCACGTGCCGTCCTGCCGGCCGTGACCCCGGCTGACCCGACATCACGCCGCGTCAATCCTGCGCAGCGTGGGCCGCGCGCGCGCGCGCTGCTGCCGCCAGTTCCGTTGCCATGCTGTGTGTGCGTACAAAGAGCCGGCGGGCCGTTTTTGTTGAACTGGGTGACGCTGACGCGACAAGACTCTAGTTTCATCTTCCAGGGCGGAGAATCAGAACTAGCCTGTGATTGGTTGTTACCCGGCGGTGGGTGCGGACGCGCAGCTGTACTCGTTTGGTATTTTGTAAGTGATAGCCGTTCCATTCGAGGCGGTCATCTGTAATAGACGCGCTACGGAGCACGTGTGTTCGGATTTGGGTGCGGTTGCTGAGTCGCTGTCGCACCCCTTTCGTGCATTGACCGAGGGATAATGTGCCCAAATCACTTCTTCGTGATCTTGAACGGAAAATGAAGTCGCACAGGAAGCATATGCTGTCCATTCTTAAGGGTAACGAATTTGGTTGAGCCTCCCCCACTCACTCAAACGACCGCAAAACAGTGTAGCACAATACAGACTGTGGTCCTACCGCAGCCACCCTACCCTGTGCGCCCTTACAACTGCTCTTACCTCGCCACACGTAAGGGACCCTGAGCCCCCCCCCCCTTCCCCCACTTTTTGCGGGCCATTTCCAGAGCAGTTTTGAACACGTTTTGGCTGGCTGAAATTACACTATGTTCACAAACACCCGTGTATGACCCTGCACACCGCGATCCAAATCGTCGGCATTACTCAGCTAACGGGCTGTGGCATGCTGACGTGACACTGCTGATGGGCTGTGACATGCTGACGTGACACTGCTGACGGGCTGTGACATGCTGATGTGACACCGCTGACGGGCTGAGACGTGCTGACGTGACACTGCTGACGGGCTGTGACATGCTGACGTGACACTGCTGATGAGCTGTGACATGCTGGCGTGACACTGCTGACGGGCTGAGACATGCTGACGTGACACTGCTGACGGGCTGAGACATGCTGACGTGACACTACTGATGGGCTGAGACATGCTGACGTGACACTGCTGACGGGCTGTGACATGCTGACGTGACACTGCTGACGGGCTGTGACATGCTGACGTGACACTGCTGATGGACTGTGACATGCTGACGTGACACTGCTGACGGGCTGAGACTGTCTCGTAGTTCGAGACACTTGGGTGACGCTGGCGACGCACGTTATCACACACAGAGTGACACGGGCACCTCATTCGAGCACATCGCGATGGAGGTGCATCGGCCACAGCGCGGTGGGTCGTGCGTTGCGACGGGGGTGTCCGATCAGCCCCAGTACGGTGGGCCGTGCGCTGCGACGAGGATGTCCGATCAGCCCCAGTACGGCGGATCGTGCATTGCGACGAGGATGTCCGATCAGCCCCAGTACGGTGGATCGTGCATTGCGACGAGGGTGTCCGATCAGCCCCAGTACGGTGGGCCGTGCGATGCGACGAGGGTGTCCGATCAGCCCCAGTACGGTGGGCTGTGCGATGCGACGAGGGTGTCCGATCAGCCCCAATACGGTGGGCCGTGCGATGCGACGAGGGTGTCGTATCAGCCGCAGCACGGAGACCGTGCATCGCAACGGCGGTGTCATATCAGCCGCAGCACAGAGCGCAGTTGAGGCCGAGTTTTCGCGACCGAGACATTTCGAAAATGTAAAAAAACTGGTCTGCGAGTCCACGGCTAGCAGCCAGACAAGCCATCGTTGGTCACTAAGGCTATCTCCACCTGACTTTGCGACGGGAAACGTGTTTGGGAGCCATTGCAGCTGGAGGCTGCGTTGGCTAAACTAGGCATCCAAGAGCTCAAGTGTCGTTGGGCACTATGTTGCTGTTCGGAACCGGAATGCCACTTAACAACCTATTTTTATTCCGCATTAAAAGCTTCAATTACGGTGCTGGTTGTTACAAAGACTTGGGAAAAGTGAGAACGAAAGACGGGAAAAAGTTGTCAGTTATATTGTACTGAATAGTCATAAGCAAGCGGCGAGTGCGCGTATACAAATTAAGACAGACACGTACTTAATTTGGTGTACGAAACGGCACAAAACAATACAAACACGATCGTACAGCAACTGTTTCCGACTAGAATCCAACAAAGATTTTACTCCTTTCAACAGTATTTCCATTCCTACTTTCAAACCGTCACTGGCGGATAACAATCGATACTGTAGGCGCAATACGACACACCACTGCACTCAAGTACAAAACGTGGGAAGAACCTGAAATCATGGCACTCCTGATAGACAGCGTCCTAGAGACCACGTGCTTCTGTAGGGTACGTACCGACGCATGTCACACACAAGAGCACAAAGCAACAGGTCAAACTAGTTCCCTTCGCATGCTAGTTTAAATGAGCCTCGGCTGACACTGCTCCACGAAAGGGTCGCCGTCATTACGCGGCGGCGGCGGAATTCTAAGGAAACAAAGTGCTATGATGGGGACCTTGTCACTAGCGCAGGCATCGACTGTCAGCCAGCAGAGTATCGTTTTGTGCCTACCATAACGAAACAGCGTTCCGAATTGCACAGCTCTGTAACGAGCACAGTATTGGGACAGGCTGAAAAAGATTCAGTGGTGGCCTTATTAGAAACGATTATAACATCCAACAACGAGCACAGCTGGGCATTGTGCTTGTACTTAAGACAACTAGCGTGGGATCTGTATATGTATATATATATATATATATATATATATATATATATATATATATATATATACACATATATCCAAATACAGCCTTCTAATGTATGCAAAGCACACACAATATCATCAGGTTGGTTACAAACTTCCAATAATTTGTTTAAGCATTATAAATGCTTTAACTTTAGCTTCAGACTTAGCTAACCGCATTGGGCGCTTTGCCTTGACTGTCAACTGACCCTAGGGTATCGGAAATACTGACTAAGCTGATTGCACTCGTCACTTCACTCTGCAGGTCAATAATTGACTGGCTTGACGCCCCGGCAGTACGAACAGGTTTGCTGCAGCCGTTGCGTTCAGGGGTTTGTGTGTGGTTCATCCGCCTTCATCTGGCAGCTTCAGGGGCAATATCAATATGGCAGCAACAGGACCAGGCGGCCGCGGCAGTGTGGGATTCAGCACCCGCCGCGAGACATCTCGTTCCTGACTGCTATGGCACGCCACATGGCGTTTTCTCGGTTACCGCAATACAAAGCTAGGTACTATGTGCCAGATTTACCTTCAAGTGTAAAATGAAGGAGCCCAGAGAAATTCATGGCCTCCACATAGGCTGTTTTGCTTAAACACTGCAAGGCTACATACCATTCCTAAGGCATGGCAGCTGTACTTCTCCAATTTAGTCAAGGTCTCGCTCCTACCCGTAACCAGCTCCGCCAAAGGCAACGTACAGGAACATGCTTGAAAGACCAGCTCCGAAACCCGGCACCATCCCAACCCCCGGCATGGTCGTGGTCGATGCCAACACCCCGATACATATTCTGACTGGTCGTTTACTACGACTGGATAACTATGGCTTAGCCCAGCTACGCTCGCGATAAGACCAACTGATTAAAACACAACGGTTCTGAATATCACCAGCACCGCCTTGTCAGCGGCCAGCAGGCAGCGCGCGCCGCAGCTGGATGCTCCTGACCCCCAGACCCGACGCAAGCACCCCTTCACCTCTACACCGAGCTTTCAGCCCACCGGCGCGCAGATTGGGCCCGCCGCCGCCGCTCTCCCCGCACGGTGCAGGGTTCGCCGATCGCCCGCCAGATGGCAGGCCGCGCTACAGGACCGGCGCGTGCAGGAACTGCTGACCGTCGGCGGTGAACACGGGCCTGCCGCTGATGTAGGTGGCGCGCACGTGCACGTCATCCGAAAGCAGCACGAAGTCGGCGTCCGAGCCGAACTCCAGCGTACCCTTCTTGTCGACGATGCCCAGCGCCCTGGCCGGGTGGAGCGACGCCGCCTCCAGCGCCTCCACCGTGCTGCAGCCTGCGGCCGAACGAGCGCAGTGTTAGCCGAGCCCGTGTCGACAGGGCCACAGACAGAGAACAAGTGCACCGAAATCAGGGCTGTAAGGGCTCGAGATAAGGAGAAAATGCGTAGGACATGGATGGGGCGGGGGGGGGGGGGGGGAGTACCGGTGTGACATCTTATGGAGGGACATGGCATTACTGCGATCCATTCGATCATCGGAGCCTGTATTGGTAGTTGAGCCAGAACACAACGCCGCCATCGCCTCCAACACATAAAATGCCGACTATTTTAAACCGGCCATCAGGTTTATACGCCCACAGTATTTTGCATCTGCGAAGAACCCTCCCGGTCTCGAGGCCGCGACTCTTCCACCGCAGACCCCACGGGTGAGACTGCGGAGCAGCCACTGAGCACTAACGGGCCGAGTGCATGTAGTGTCGGATGCAGCCGTCCATGGTGACGATCGAGCCGCAGAGCGTGTCCGTGCCGGTGATCACGGCGCGCTCGCCCTGGATCTCGACGTCCATGTCGCCGATGTGGTGGCGGCCCGAGCCGAGGCCCATCGCCGATACGGCGTCGGTCACCAGACACAGGCCTGCGGCAGGCCAAGGGCGTCACGCATCGGCCGGACGCGGCCACGGCCCTGCGCCCAACATCGTGAGGTGGCCCAACAGCCACCAGGGGCGCCACCGGGCGGTCCCGCAACAGCCGTCCGCCCCGATGGCACCTATACTGTATACAACTTCGTATTAACATAGAGCGATCGGTCTGTCAGCATGAGATGCGCAGCATCGCTGCCATGCTGGAGGTCCGATGCACAAATAGACGTAGATAACAGCGCGGGGAGATTGGTGCTCGCTGGTGGAAATGAAACCTAAATATCTTGTACAACCAGCTTGGGGCAAGGGCGATGGTAAATGAACTATGCAGCTTTGGCTGCGCTACAGCTTTTCTATGCTTACGTTAATACGGAAAGCGTACGATGGAGAATCCTGAATTAATGACGGTCCTCCAAACTAAGCATACTTTATTGTCCTTCCAGACATTACTGCATCACTCACTCTACGAAGGCGGGATTTGTACTCCACGCCCAGAAAATACAAGTACATTTCCTGTGGGCGCGTGTAAGTCTGTGCTGAACACTCCAGTGACCGTGAACCGGGTGCTCTATCATTGCGCTTGCGCGCACACAGACGCCACACGCGCCAACTGTGTCTCCACCCCGCCGGCCAGCCGACGGCGGAGGAGGCGGCGGTGGCGACGGCGCACCCACCGGTAGGGTGCGTCTTATAAGCGATGCGGAGCGCCGCCGGGTGCGTGTGGATGCCGTCTGAGATGATGCCGTACGACAGCTCCTGAACCGGCAACCGCTTCGACGTCAGCATGCCGATGATGCCCGGGTCACGGTGGTGGAACTGCGGCGTCGAGACAGGTGAGTGCTGACCGGCACGGGCGGCTCATGCGTTTGTCTCCATGGCAATCCGTTCCATTAGCACTACCGCCCGACCTCTATCCGGATTTTCCAATTGCGATCCGGAATATTCTACTGTCAACCCGGCATTCCATCTCACGCCGGACGCAGACTACCGATCGAGTCCAGGTTTCGATTCCGGTCGTTCAAAAAAAAAAAACACTTTTCAGCCTAGTTCGTTGGGATTACAAAGGCGATCAGCGGACAGCACTGTTCAACCGGCGACAGTACCGTCAGCCCAGCCCAGCCCCAAATCAGCCGTGCGGCCGTCCCACACGCTGAAGCGGCTTCCGCTGCCTCCAGCCGACAGCTGACCGCGCCCGACAGCGCCGGGCCGATCCGCGCAGTCTCGTGAGCCGGTGGCCCGCCGGCCAGCCACCGGCTCGCACCTTGGTCATGGCGTTGAAGAGGTGCGTCATGAAGTGGGCGCCGCACTCGAACGCGCGCTCGCCGTCGACAATCGAGCCGGCCGAGTGACCTGCAATGGCGCGGACCGGCTGAGCAGCATGCACACACGACGGGAGACGAGCGCACAAGAGACGGCGTCAAAAGTGGGGACATGCTACAACTATATCCATGGTGCAGAGCCGCAGACTGCCAGGTACGCACAGCTGGTCTCAGCCCCAGGCCAGCCAGAGCAACGGCAGTGACAGGCGGACGAAACTGCGACAGTACGCCGCCTGGCCTACCAGCGGAGACGGCACGCCGCCTAGCCTACCGACGGAGACGGCACGCCGCCTGGCCTACCGACGGAGACGGCACGCCGCCTGGGCTAACGACGGAGACCGCACGCCGCCTAGCCTACCGACGGAGACGGCACGCCGCCTGGCCTACCGACGGAGACGGCACGCCGCCAGGCCTACCGACGGAGACGGCACGCCGCCTGGCCCACCGACGGAGACTGCACGCCGCCTGGCTTACCAACAGAGACGACTATGCCGCGGTCGACCAGACCCCGCACGGCGTCCAGCGCGTTCGGCAGCTCGGGAGCCAGCGTCACCATGGCGACGTTGTCTAAACAGCCGTATACGTCCTTCAAGGTGACGAATCCCTGCCGACAGTGCATGGTTGTGTGAGTACAAGGCATGGAGCCCTGTATACGTCCTTCAAGGTGACGAATCCCTGCCGACAGTGGCATGGCTGTGTGAGTACAAGGCATGGAGCCCTGTCATCCCATGCCCAAACATGTGGCCAACATTTGTATTACCCTTCTTTATGGGCCAACAATAATGATCCATAAGCCATGCGCGCATTGTCTTGCCAACAAGATGACGATCTGGCAAATTTGTGTTTCCCTTCCACGCCGCGTCCGCAATGGTTGGCGGACATCCCACTAGTGCAGCCCCTTCCCAAACAGCCCAGCATCCCACCCTCCAAAGTTCCTCCACCGCGGATAGGAGGCGACGTCGCCACCACGCCACCACACAACGGACCCCCAGACCGTCAAACTGTCCCGTGTGCTGACACCACCACACCGCAGAGCCTCACCTCGTCAAACTCCCGGATGTGCTGCACGGGGTGGGCGCCCTTCTTCTCCTTGCTGATGAACGGCCCCTCCAGATGGGCGCCCAGCACGCCGGCACCCCACTCGCCGCCCGGCTGCTTCCGCAGTAGGGGCAACACCTGGCGACGGACGACACAGCCGCTGAGCGACCGGCGCAGGCGGCCCCGCGTGCCGCCAGCCGGGCCCCACCGTGTCGTAACGGGAGACACAGACGGCCCGCGTGCCGCCAGCCGGGTCCCACCGTGTCGTAACGGTGGACACAGACGGCACGGCGTACCGTCGGCCTGGCCCCACAGTGTCGTAACAGGAGGCACTGACGCTCCGGGCGTACCGCCAGCCGGGCCCCACAGTGTCGTAGCAGGACACACTCGTCCAGATGTCAGTCGTGGCACAGCTATGAAGCAGGATTCCATGGAGAGTGCAACATTCTGGACGAACAAACACAGCGCATGCCACCCCGAAGCCAAAGCCGGTCGGCCGTGCCCGAGCCCAGCCGTCCCGGGTAAATCGAGAGCGGGCCAAGAACGGACCTTGCGGTACACGCTGGGTGCGGAGGTGATGACGGTGGGCAGGAAGGAGGTGACACCGTGCGCCAAGATGCCTCGTGCCACCGTCGACACCGCGTCCTCTGTCTTGTCCTCGTCGAACGCGAAATCGAACCCGAACCCGCCTGCCAGCAGCGGGGTGACGACACGTCGTAGGCACGCGCGCGCGCTGATGTCGACGCCGCGCGTCCGCTGGCATGCAGACGCGCTTCCATAGATGACTGACTATTGCGGGTTGCGACATGGACCAGCGAGACACAAACGATGAGCAGTCCAGCTCTCGCTCGCCTCACTGGCGTGAAGGCACTGACCAGGTGTTTGTCATAACACAGAGTCGCACCGGGTTTACACGGAGCCACTGGGCGACACCGATCACTGTGCCGGACGCAGAGCCTAGAAGGTCCATTAAGCGACCCAAGCAGGCAATTGGACATTGGCAAACTGCGTGGGATGACCCGACGTCCTCCTGATGAGCGAGAAGGCGCCATACGTCCCGGGCAACTGCGGAACAATAATCCCCTGGCAAAAAGCCGAAGCAGTGCCGTCACCTACTGAACTGGGGTCGCGTCGTGAGAAACTGATCCCCATTCATACTCGTCGATGACGAGCATGAAAGTCGTCCTTTTGGAACGTCAAATGGCATCTCCCGTTTGGAGAGCATAACACGAGCACATGTGAGTGCTTAGTTTGCGGTTACTTGACGCAGCATGAACACGATTTCTCACGTTTCATACATCTCTCTCACGTCTCACGATTTTTCACACCATAGATGTGAGAGGGCTAAAATATGCGGAGCCTCCCCACCATTTATGACGTAATCAAGAGCACTACATTCTCAAACGTTCTCATAACCGCAACAAAGACAACCATTTATTATGAAGCGTAACGCCGATGCCTTACCGCGCTTGTCTCACCATTTATCTGAACATCTATGAAGCCAGGTGCCACAATGGAGTCCTTGCAGTCCACCTGGAAGGTTGGAGGGCGCTTCTGCTTGTAGAAAAGCTCCTCGGGATTGATGATAAGCCCATCTTCTACCCAGAGATCTTCACGGATCAGCCGGTGATTGTACAAAATGCGGCAGTTCTTGAACTGAGTAACGCCAGACATCGTGACACGTATCGCAGGGGATCTGGGGAGAGTGCCGGAAAACCCCGTCAGTTAATCATACAATGATTGCATTAATGACTTCTAAGATAAATTAATGCTTAAGTCTTCGTCGACCTTCCGACGGCTTAGACTAGCATCGGTTGGCAATCCGCTCCCCAGCCCACACGTTTTGAACTTCAGGGCCCACGTCTTTGCTGGGTGGAGGTCACGCAACCGACAGGAGATGGAACGATTGGCGGTTCAGAGTGACAGGTTGGAATGAGCCGGGGTCACCAGCGACATCCCTTGCGGACCTGCCCTGAGTCCGGTATTGGTTTCATCCATTCCCCAATAACACTCGGTGGAGGAATCGATCCCGTCACCAGCGTCGGGATCAAGTCCGCCACCGAGTGTCTGCATTGGCATGGGCCCAGACCAGAATCAGTTGTACCGATTGAGCGAGGACTACACGGCCCGGCTGCGCGCTCCCAAGGCTGGACTGCCTGCTGATGCCGGAAGTGCGACACAGACTGCCAGACACAACACTCCACACCCGCGCTCAAAACAATAACCCTGGTTACATCAGAGGCAACATGTTCAGGTGTAATCAATATATGTGGGCACTGCATGCAGCAGGAGTGACAACTGTCTTGAATGGGGAGGGGTCCATTTGCACACACTTGCTTAGCCAGAACTAAATCATGAAAAATGTCATCAGGAGAGTCCAGAATATCAGCAGAACTGTGTCCTAAGTGCTCTCAGACTTCCCATCACAGTCAGATTTATATTGACATTGTTTCTAGTTAAAAAACTGCACCATGACATCAGGTAAATGGGTTTATCTGATCTTTAGATGGTTGAATTGGCAAAAACCTCTGAAAATGAAGTTATCATTTGAATCTAGATTTAGGGGTCAAAAATGCCCTAGTTTACAAGTTATATATAGCAAGATGTTGATTGAGGTCATGTTAGGTCAGGTCACTCTGGTCCACAGGTTACAAGGTCACTCTAGTATGTAGCCATTATGTAAGTGGGGCATTAATCAGTCAGCATCAAGCAAGACTGAAAGGCTTGGTAGTTGTTGACATTGAGCATACCTGCCCAGTATATGTGTTCCATTTGAGGGACATAATAAATATAGCAGAGCTATATCCCAGTCTTTACATATGTCATTCACCACATGACATGTACATAATGTTGCTGAGATGTAGCATTTCTGGCCACTATCTCTGTTTCATTTGAGATATTATATACATTATATATATATATATATATATATATATATATATATATATGGCAAAGCCATATGCCAACAGCCAGAAGCTCATGCCTTAATGGCAAGAGGCCAACAATTCTATATGCAACAGCTGGACTCTGTCTGCCTTCTTGAGTTAAGTAATTTGGTGCTAGATTTACTGTTCACAGTAAATTAAGGGCTTTAAATGGGTCTCAGAAGCTTGGCCAGCAGCAAAAAATTAAATTGCAGATGGCATTACAGTAGCACAAAACAAAATGCATTGTAATTACAATATCCCACTTCATAAGCAGCAGCTAAAACCTTACCACCATTGAACTAAAAATCCTAGCTATAACTGACATCACAGCCACACTGAGGACAACATTTCTCCAAACTGTGCCACATTTTACTGACTGGAGAATGCACAATCCATGCAATCAAACATATAGTCAATGTTGTCTGCACATGGTGAGAAAAGAAAGCATGGGTCTTTCCTTTCCCCACTTGTGAAATAAGCAGCAGCTTGTTCTTTCATAAAAACTCTGGTCTGTGGAGCTTAGAGCTTGCTGACACATTTGTGCAAATCACACATTGACTTTCACATCTGTTTAACTACATGAGTGCATGCTGAAAAGTTGGGCCTTCCACAGGCACACACAACTAATGTGGAGGAGATCAACAGAAGGAGTACCTAATTTCCAACATTTAAACAAATTCAACAACAGACCCATCCCTTTGCGAACAGAGCTGGATGTCCTGGAGCAGAAAACATGCCTTCTCTCTCACCACTAGAAGAACGCTACTTTCAGCTCCCAAGAGAAATCAAATTGAATCATTCTCAAAATGGCAAGGGTAAAACAGTCCGCCTACACAATTCTCGAACATAAACATTCATTGATGGGAACGTGCATAACTGGACCACACAACACGCCATACCGCTAGCGACGGCTGACACTGTTGTCTTTACGCCGAATTTTCTACCGCATTTGTCATATTCGCCTCAAGGTCACAGCTTCATAGCAATGGGCAGGACTTTTGTTTTCGTGACTGCTTTTCCCTTTGGAAATATGACACATTTTTCCATATGACACATACATATGAAATTTTCCATATGACACATTCCATATGACACATTTCAGTCGTTGTTAGATATCAAAATAATGTTTCTTAATTCCATCGACTGAAATATTTATCAAAGATGGGTTGTGTTCAACCACCTATCCGAGAATATGCACTGAGTCTTCACCGTTATATTTTGTCCATGACTAAAAGTGTTTGGTTGATGTGTTCTGGCGCATTTGCGACGATATTGCGTAAACACTACACTTGTGCACGGGTCCTGTACGCATCCTGCCTCCTATTGTTTGTAAACTGCTGAAATAGCGCAAGGTGATTGGCAAGTGGGCTCCAGTAACCAATCAGCTTCAGTATAGGAGGTCTACGACCTGCCGCCCTGCATTATTTAGCAGTAGATAATCTCAGGGCAGATGATATCGAACAGGCCGTGACTTAAGCGCCGAGTGTTGAGAGGTGCGAAGGGTGGGGGCGTTTTGTGAGTGTTTTGCGCTAATTTATGGAGTGTATTTGGGTTAAAATTTTGACTTGCATCTTCCTTCAAGTATGATTGACCGCAGGTGTGGGGGAATTGCACTGCACTTTGGAGTACAATGAATAGTATTTCGTAAACCACTTAGCGCGATAGTTCGTCTGTTTTTCATGCTCAACAATATGGTTACTAACATTTGCCGAACATTGTAACCTCAATTCGAGAAGTACAGCATATCTTTGTGGATGAGTTTCCAAGGATGGTTAGCACTGCCAGTTGTCCGTCTTTCAAAGTTTTAAACACTCAAAGTTTTGGACATTTTTATATTGTCAATTTTAGTTGAATCTTTAGGAAAATGTGGCATACACCCACCATTTGTTAAGCCTCTTCTTCTGTAGTTTGCATAAACTTAATTTTGTGTCTCCTTTCAAAATAAATATATGTGTAAGACAACTATGGTCCATCCAGATGGCTCAGTTGGTCAAAGTGTCAGCCTTTTGATCCACACACTTGTGGCAGGGTTGGCTTGGATTGTTTGGTGCAAGTCATTTAAGGCATCAACTATTTTGTCCTTGACAGATATGGCCTGTAGCCTGTTGTATTGGCAACACAGAATATCAGTTGATGTCAGGGGAGAGTGCAGGATGGACTGTGCTAACACCGCAGCATATTAAACTTGTCACTAAATCACCGAACTTGACAGGTTGTCTGGAATTGCTGATCAAATCATAGGGGATAGGGCCACACAAGCAATACTGAGGCATCAACCACTGTGTCTGGGAAGTCATAGGTGTGGGGTTTTATTCCATGTGGTGTGCACTCTTCCTGCCAGGGTGAGGGCGGGTGACAACATATATTCTCAGCAGTGAAGTTTGTCACAAAGCCCCAATAACACATGCACACACATTATGGCTTAGTTAGTATAAGCTCATTCCAGAAACCTATCCTTTCAAAGGTTTGGGTTAAATCTTTAAAGTACTGCACCAGCCATCTTGGAACCACAGTATACCAACCAGTACTAAAACAGTGGAATTGTATCATTTTACTCTCAGATGCAAAGTAATGATAATCTTAGATTGGTGATATTGTTCATAAGTGAAATTATGTAGGTGATTGATGATTGGTAGATTAGTAAGCTAGTGAGTGATGAGTCAGCTGAGCATGAGCTTCCTATTGCAGTAGCAAGAAATGGTCAGGTTAGGTCAGTTAAATCACAGAAATTGCTGGCTGTATTTGGTTTGTGCTTTCATTTGTTACTAATGTGCTCATCAAAAAGAAAGAACCCTGATGCCGTCTTTGCACATTGTGCAATGACATAGGGATAACAGTGCCCAAGTTGTGGATGTGTGCTGTGTTGCTAACATAATGCTACCATAATTATTGTGTAATAGTTTGGGATAGTATGATGCAGTATGCTGAAGCAGGAGTGAACCAATACTAAACATAAATAATTATCCTTGCAAAATTTGCCATAGATATGTACTTCAAAATCATCCAAAAGTAGGTTTGTATGAGCAGGAGTGATCTTTATCTAGTGATCTAGTGATCTTTGTGTGAGCAGGAGCTAAATCTTTACCTTTGCATGTGCATTGGGCACAGGGTTGTGCCTGGCCAGTATGTCAATGCTCCATCCACTGTGCCTGATGCCTGCTTTAACTTGGTGAACAAACCAGGGGCATGTATGTGCCAAATGGGTATTTATGTGTCAGGCCAAATTTTGTATGCATTTTCAAATAATCTCCTTAACAATATTTTGGTATTATTGCTGCCTGAAATTGTCTTTGAAACCCTGGCCTATACATTAGTGGTGACTGTGCCACTGAACTCTGCATGGGATTAAAGTGATGACTCTGAAATTGTCACTGGATGTTTCTACACATGGCAGTGTCACCAGACATGTTTGATATGACATGCATTTTTTGCATTCTGGTGCCTGGCTACTGGGGGATTACCATTTCCATTGGTCAGGGTTGAGAGCTAACTACTGACTACTTAAATATAGTTTCTGTTGTTTTTACAGAAAAAGAATTACATCACTTTGTATAGTCAGTCACTTTGATGAAATGAATGATAAATGCACAGGTGTTCTCTCATGAATTAAGTTAGTGAGAGCAAATAGTTGCTGATATATGTACTTGACATGTATAACTTGACATCTTGTTGCAACTTGTCAACATCATTGCTATGACATTGGATTTGGGCAGAATAAGTTTGTCTGTTTAGGCATGTATGAAATCTTAGTGAGCAATTCAGAATGTTATGGGGGCCAAATATTTGACAACTGAATGTCCTTCATGGGACCACAATGTATCCCACGGGGAACTCAACTGCACTGCTGCAAGTGACATCATGTCAATTTGGATGTAAAGCCATTATGACCCAGATTGCTTGATAGTTTCAAACATCATTGCTGGCTAGTATGTACTTGGTTTCTAGATCTTTCTATGTATCCAGGTGCATCTTTGCTCACTCAGGTGCACTCTGTAAATCCAAATGGCATGCCTTTCTAAAGGGCACCATGGGGCACCAAAGGCACCAAAGGCACCATGGGGCACTGAAGTGCACCATCTCATATCCTATGAGCATGTTTGCAACATTTGATGATGCACTAGTCTTAAAAGCACCAGTGGTGGGAGAAGTCTTTCAGAGGCTGGCATATAGTTGCAGCTGTATCAGTAAATATTCTGCCCTGCTCATCCAAAGGCCCAAGGGGTATCACTGTCAGGAAGATTTAATTAACTGCTTCAGTTCTTTGTTGCAAAAGGAAAGTTACATTGGCTTGCTATGGTGTGGCAGATAGTGGTACTAATGAAATTGTGTTTGATATATATCCCAAACACACTTATATGTGTGTTGTGTCATATATAACACTGTCATATATGACACTGTTATGTGACATTCAGATCATGGCCTTTATTTCTGATTGATACTTACAATGTGGTTTGGATATGTTTTTGACTGTAGTCATAGTATGGCTACAATCTTTCCAGTAATTTATCATTAGAATACCCCCACATCATCCACAGGACAGTTGGAATGAATTGCATAGACACATTCTGACTGCAGCAGACATGCCAGCATTGCCCATTATATGTTATGTCACCCCTGATCCACCATTGCCTGTTTTCATTTTCACAGGTGTGACAATCTGCATGCCATCTAGACTTTAGGAAGATCATATATTCAGCAGCCATGTCTGTGTCATCAATATATCTTTTAGACTCCAAGGGAAAGGTAAGAACCCTGGATTATTGCTTGTATTGTGGTGATGACCAGATCAGGATGGCATAGTGAGAGAGTGTGTGACCAGCCATAATTAATTTAAGTTCCCAAGTATATGCTTTTATTACCAACTAGTGTCGGGACATTTGTTGTGATGATACAACATATTGTCTGGCATATGGTTAAGGTAACAAATAAACCAATCTGTACTATCCTTTACGATGTACCAGAAGCATGCTCTGAAAGCCAGACATTTTAAATTGACAGTGACCCTTGGTATACCCCTATGTTGATTTCCTATAGGCCATGTTGCTGTGCCCTCTGTTTACTGGTCATGGCCCATGACAGTGTGGCAACATACCTGGCAACAGCCACGTTTTTACCAGTGGTGAGATGGAGTCACATTTGCACCAGTGGTGAGATGGAGTCACATTTGTATCAGTGGTGAGATGGTGCTGTGACGCTGCTCGCTCTGTCAGGTGCTGATATCCCGGAACTACCGCGGCGATATCGAGCCCAGCGTCATCGACAAGTTCATGCCGCTGCTCATGGACCGCGAGGAGGAGGGCAACATGTCGCCCATCATACAGGTGACGCGCAGCACGTGGTCCTCTGTCCTTCTGGGAGGGTGCTAATAATGCTAGATAGTTTGCAACAATGACTTAACACTGTAAGTGCTCAGTCACGAGGCACGCACTTGTCTGCTAATTGTAAGTGCATTGACTGGTTGCATGTTCCAGGAAGTTTTGTGGGGTTACAGATGTGATGTGTTAGTCAGCCTTTTGTTTTCAGCCTGTTAGGAATGACTAGAGAATGTTTTTGATTGATCAGGAAGAATGAGTATAATTGGCTGGATGGGCATAGTTCAGTGAGAAACACAGCTCTGAAGTGGTCTGTACAGGTGACGAACCAGCTATGCGCAAATGGATTAGTCTGCTACAGATAATCTAAAAGAAAACTTAGTGCTCCAATGACCTAAGGCTACATTCTGCATGCTCTTACTTCGTCTGCTTTTAATTTTCTGGAAAAATATTTTCAACTGTGTGCTTTAAAGTACTTGACACATATTGGTGCCTTGAAAACTGATGTTTTCAGTATGGTATGGCGCAAGTGTTGGTTTGTGTGGATGAGACATGAGTTTTGCTGTGAATTACACATTCGTTATTACATGGGAAGGGTCACTGCGGAAATCTGCGCAGGGGAAGGGTCAAACTCCGGGTCACTTTGTTATAGTCATATAGTCATTTGAATCGCACCGTTGTTTGGTCTGGAAACGGCCGCACAAGTTCCCGACAACACATGGGGAAGCCATTGATTGCCATCAGTTTCTGGCATTTACCATGCTGTCCTTTTCAGACCAACGGCTGCACGTTCATGTACATCAAGCACAGTAACGTGTACGTGGTCAGCACGTCCCGCAAGAACGCCAACGTCAGCATGGTGTTCGCCGTCCTCCACCGACTGGTGCAGGTGAGGGGCGTCTAGTACCGTCAGTGGTGGCGCACTCGCGTGAACGCTCTCGCAGATACCCTCGCGCAGGCTGTCACTGTCAGACGGCGAGAAGCTCTCCCAATTTGTACGTGGGCGGCAGCACGTTTTTGCACTAGGAAAGTGATCCACGTGCTGCGTCGCGGGTGTATGTTTACTTGGTGCTGTGCTGCGCCCGTGTTCTCGTTTCCTGACCGATGTGGCTCATGACGTCTGAACACGACATCGCCTGTCTTCCGCGCAAATTAGACACATGTACCCTGGTGTAGCCTTAGCATGCAGCTCAGGGGGCGTCGCTCGATGTCAGTTTTGTTTGGCGAGGCATCTCCGGCGCCACACACGCGCCCACGTCGTGGTCCTTCCGCCGATCAGCCTGGGCATGCCGCAGGTGTTCGAGCACTACTTCAAGGAGCTGGAGGAGGAGAGCCTGCGCGACAACTTCGTCATCGTGTACGAGCTGCTGGACGAGTTGATCGACTTCGGCTACCCGCAGACGACAGACAGCAAGATCTTGCAGGAGTGAGTGGCCGGGTCCCGGGAAGGCGGGGGGCAGCGAGCCGCCTGTCCGGACTCACCGGATCGGCATAACCGTGAGATGGCGACGCGGGATGTCGGGTGGCCAGGCTGCGTCTGCGGTGGGGGCTGTGGTTCTGTGGTTCAGATCCAGCAGCTCTGACCTATTATGGCGTCTGAAGGTCAAGACTGCATAAGATCAGATGACTAAAAAAGCACCTCCGTACAGCTGTTGACTATTTCGGGCGATCTGTATGCCTGCCTAATTTTGCTATGGTGTTTGGCATTTTTCATCTGAATGCATGCGATATACGTCGTACCAACAATAATGACAAAATACTCAAATTGTCCCGCATTTTACCAGTGTTCGTCGTTTTGTATGTACTCAAAGGCATTTCTGCTGGCGACTGGTTGCATATTTTCGATTATCCCAGTAGGCACGCGTTTTGAACGCTCGATGGGCGCGAGGAGACATCCAGGTACCATGTCCGCTTTTGGGCGTTGGCGGATTAGGCGGGATACAGCCCGCTTACATCGCTAGTGGGATATCGGGCCCACAAGTCAGACTCCTCGGGCAGTGCTCTAGGTGGCGCCCATGGTCCTGACCTCGGTGGGGTGCCTACCGACAGGTACATCACGCAGGAGAGCCACAAGCTGGAGCTGGCGCCGCGGCCACCGATGGCCGTCACAAACGCCGTCTCCTGGCGCTCGGAGGGCATCAAGTACAGGAAGAACGAGGTCTTCCTAGACGTCATCGAGTCGGTGAACCTGCTGGTGCGTGCGCTGCCCGATGCCGTCGGGCTGCCGGTTGGATGGGTGTCACTGGTGCTCTTTCGGATGGGTGTCAAACGCGTGTGGGCCTGAGGTGACCCGGAGGTGACAGCGATTCCGGAGTTATGGCCTCTTGGGATTGGGGCCCCATTGATCGGTTTACTGTATTGGTGCGTTGGGCTCAGGCTCATACTCACCAGGATGAGAGGGGATGAAGTAAGACCTGGCTGATTTAGAAGTATGCTTTAACATTAAAAATTTTTTCTAGACATGGGACACAACCTGCGACTCCAGCTGTAGTTCGTGGGTTATGCTCATATCTGGTAATATAACTCATACCCTGGCATAAGATCCAGGAAATGTAGGGACCGGACGCATTCAAACCAAGATAAGAAAAGTATTCATTTGTGTTCGATAACAGCATTGGGTCCGTCATGAATCATGTTTCGGATGCTATTTTGATTTACGGCTCGACGATCAGTGTGTTTTGGGGTTCAGTTCTCCGTTTGGTTGAAGCTTGTTCTCGTTCGCAGTCTGTTTAGACTGGCCGCTCGTAAATCCTTGTCATGTGTCCCAAGAATAACATATTATAGCTGGGATAGAAATGACGCCGCTTCAAGAAGATCCGCTGGACTGGGGCATGGCGAAAAGCTTCGCGGTTATTCGTAACACCATCACAATCTGGACGTGCTGGCTCATTTTTCGCAAAAGATGACAGCCACATCGAATTATTCATTGGCCACGAAAGTGGCAGATGCATCTTTCCGTCATAGATACACATCGTCTAGTTTGTTTTGCGTCGGGTTCCCCTGAAGCGCCATACAAGCGTTTTCGAAGGAATTGCAATGTCCTCTCTCAACAGCTCCAACAGACAGTTACTGCCGCAGGAATGCGATCCCACGCTCAGCTGATTTGCCCCTCATACGCCGCCGAGCACGTAAACAGCACACGGGACAGCTCCTGTTGGCCGGCACTGTATTGGCAGTGCCGCTCACCCCCCACCCCCACCCCCCCACCCCCGCGGCAGGCCAACTCCAACGGCAACGTACTGCGGAGCGAGATCGTGGGCAGCATCAAGATGCGCGTTTACCTGTCCGGCATGCCCGAGCTGCGGCTGGGTCTCAACGACAAGGTACTCTTCGAGAGCACCGGCCGCGGCAAGAGCAAGTCGGTAGAGCTGGAGGACACCAAGTTCCACCAGTGTGTCCGACTCTCCAGGTGGGCGAGGGAGGGAGAGGCTTCGGCTGACCGGCCAGTGGCGGAGCTGAGCCGGAGCTGGAGTTGGGTGCTGAGCGCTGCCGCCGCACTGGGGCTGCCAAGTGGGATGTTTGGTGGGAGAGATAGGGCACGGGTGGGCCGGGCTCCGTTGTTTGGTTTGGGTAGGTGGCAGTTGCTCGAAATATGAATTCAAATAATAGCTGTGTTTGGGATTGAGAGCACTGTTCACGCTGACCCTGTCCCTGGAATTATATACGCGGCGTATCATGACCGCTGGTATCGTCAGCTCACACAAATATGCGTCCAATCGTCGGCGTCGGACTCAGTCTGGAAACTTTTTTCAGATTCGAAAACGACCGGACGATATCGTTCATCCCCCCGGACGGCGACTTCGAGCTGATGTCCTACCGGCTGAACACGCACGTGAGCATCTGACTCACGCGCCGGCGTCTGCTGGGCGGCGCCTCTCGCACACGCGCTCCGCTGGCGGAAGATACCGAAAGCGGCCGGCGCCGCTGACTCAGGCGGCGCGGGGCCCGCCGGCCGGTGCCGGTCCTGTTTGGCGCCCTGCGTTCCGGCCCGGCCCGGCCCGCTCCCGCTCCCGCTCCCGCTCCCGCTCCCGCTTCCGCGCGCCTGGCCTCAAAGTCCGCCGTCTGGGCGGACCGGCGCGATCTGACGCCGTGATTCATGCTCTGTGCGTTATGTCATCGCGCCTGAGGAATGTTATCATCTCGGTATCCGGCTGACTAAGTGTGGCGGACGGGTTGCCGGCTGTTGCGGGTCGTCGGTGCGGATACCTCACCGTCCGAGATAGTCGGTTCACGAAAAGGCGCCTGTCGGGCGTAGTACCGCTAACGACCACTAAAGCCGTCGCACAGTGTTTGTTTCGGGCCTGATTGGCTCCGAGGGGCAGTGGCAGGTGTGCCGTCGACGGGCCTGGTTCGGCCTCCCGCTGACCCGTCCCCGTCCCTCGCTAGGTGAAGCCGCTCATCTGGATCGAGTCGGTGATAGAGCGACACGCTCACAGCCGGGTCGAGTACATGGTCAAGGCCAAGTCACAGTTCAAGCGGCGCTCCACGGCCAATAACGTCGAGATCATCATCCCCGTGCCCAACGACGCCGACTCGCCCAAGTTTAAGACGACTATCGGCAGCGTCAAATACGTGCCAGAAAAGACGTGCATTGTGTGGAGCATCAAGTCGTTCCCGGTGCGTACGCGGCGCTGGGTGCACCAGAAAGGGCGCTGTTAATGGGCATGTCATGTTATGTTCTGGAGAAACCGCTTCCGTGAATTGGAAGCGACCGTTATTGGGCTCAGCTAAGCACAGGTTTAACTATACGGGCTTCGTCGCTCGAACCTCTCCCAGTGCCTTTCTAAAACAAGGAATGATTTCGCGTCGGTCGCCCAAACCGTTACCGCCGCGTGATCTTAAACGAGTGGCGAAGTCCAGGACATGACCGGTATGAACTGCCCGAAGTACGGGCGGTGGTACAGTGGTACACACTTGTGGGCAGCGGACCCGGGAGCCAGTATAAACATGGCGATACCTCCCCGGGGTGGCCTCGCTTCGACGTGCTGGTCGCGCCAGGCGTGCGCCCGAGGCGTTCGTGCCGATAACGCTGCGTGTGTCCAGGATGTGGTGGTCTCCCCTGTTTCTCCAAGCGTGTTGCCTCGCCGTCCGTGCCGGAGATAGCGAGCGTGCTCCCAGGGAGGCGTTGCCTGTTTTGCCCCGCTGAGGTCACGTGGCGCGTTTCCAGGGCGGTAAGGAGTACCTGATGCGGGCCCACTTCGGCCTGCCCAGCGTGGTGGCCGAGGATGTGGACGGAAAGCCGCCCATCAACGTCCGGTTCGAGATCCCGTACTTCACCACCTCCGGCATACAGGTGCGTCCGCAGCCCGCCCGACGCCCACCAAACTGGACTCTCTGAGCTCTAATTTCCGCCAAACTGCACTCTCTGAGCCCTGATTCCCACCAGACTGGACTCTCTGGTCTCCGATTCCCGCCAAACTAGGCTACATGAGCCCCGACTCCTGCCAAACTGGACTCTGATCGTTCCTGAGGGACGGCCACGGGATCTTGCGAGCTTTTCGTTCTGCATTGGCCGTGGACTTAATAGGGTGTTGTTTGCCGATTTGTATGCGTTTGAGCTTCTCCTTTTGGTTACAAGGATGGGTATATGCACGCGTGTCATCTTCCACACATGCCAGTGACCGTGTCTCGATTTCTTGTGCCGTTTCTCTGCGTTCTGCGTTTGGCGTGCCCGCGAGCCTGTGGTGCAGGCTGTTTTCTCACGGCGTTCTGTGTACCGCCGCGGGACGCCGGACCGCCCTGGCCCCTCCCCAGTAAGAGGCGGGTCGGTTGTTCGGGTCCACTGCGCAGCGCTGCGCCGGCGCCGCTGCATACAACACCGCTGGTGACCCCGGATGTTTTTCGCCGCCGGGCCTCGGCGAACAAGCGTGGTCGTGTGGCGGTCTCCCGCCATCCCCTCCCCTCCCCTTTCCCTCTTCGGCTAGGAAGACGTATTGGTGCGGACGGTGGACGAAATTCAGCGTGAGCGAATCACAAATTATCGGCTGGTACATGGCGAAGTGCATAACGATGAAGTGTACCCATGGTGAACGGACAAATATCGACGCCCAAAAATAGAAAATTACAAAATTCCTCAGGAAAGGAACGAGAGTAGGATAAAACGATACACATTAAATTAATCATGCGATATTCTTGCTCCAAAATAAGATATGTTTTGCGTTTGCGCTCGATGCCCCCAGTTTCAGATATATGAATTGGTAGAAAGCCAAGCCTAAAGACAAATGGGTTCAGTCTGTTTTCAACTCCCTGGGTAGGCCGGTACTACTGCTTGGATCCACCTGAGCGGGTGTGGATGAAACGCTGTTTGTCACGCATTTCGTGTCATGTCACATTGTTAACGGTTATGGTGTGATCCGTACATTTCGCCTACGTATGTCTTTGTCCGACGTGCCGTTATCGAATGCGGTGTGAATCTCGCATTTCGCCTGGGTTCCCTGGCGATGGCTGTCAGTAGATCGCTTTCCATTTTATTATTGACGCCTACCTACCATGAGTTCACTTCGTTCTCAATTTTGATTTGTCACTCTCAAATATTACTCCCCCATCCTTTGCCACTCGATTGTTTTTCGTCTGCAGTTTCATGTCTGAAGACCGACTGTCGATTTGTTGCATTGCATCATGTTGCATTTGAGTTTTGATAGTTAATCATGTCTAAATTCATCTTGTCAATATTTTGTCACTGTTTCTTGTCGTCGTTTGGCATTCTATCATATGCGTTCGATGTTTTCCGATTAGATTGCCAGTAATTTTGTTTTTGATTTCATAATCCTCCCGATCGCTTATCAATCCTTTCTGACGTGCTGTGTAGGGGAATCCTCTCCCCCCCCCCCCCCCCCCCCAATTGTAGAGTCGAGCGTGCGCCGCAGGAAACGTTTATTTCCTGACTGTACCTACCTTAACCGGGCGTTGACTGTTGCAAACCCATCCACTGTCCCCCCCCCCCCCGACGGGCGCAGAGCGGGTTGTTTACTGCAGCGTAGGTCTCTGCTCCTCCCCCTGCGTGCTATCGCTGTGTCCGGCCTCTGGCGCGATCCCAGGCCGTCTCGTCCCGGCCACAGCACCAGACAGTGCTCACCCACGCACGGGGGCAGGCTGATGCTGCACCGCCAGCTCGTCACGTCCCCCTCCGCCTCCCAGCACCGGGCGGGTCCTGAGTGTATACCCTCGTCCGCCCCCTGCCCCGTTCATTAGCAGACGGGCACGGCGGCGGAGGCGTTGACCCCGGCTGTGGCGCGCCCCGTGGTGCCAGCCGGCCGGCGCCGTCACTGCTGGCCGGCCGGCTGGGGCTGTGCTCGCGGCGGCGTGCCGGAGTCGCGAGTGAGCCAGACATGTGCTCTTGCTGAAATGATATCTACAAATGATGCAGCCCGACAACTGTGTTGATATTGGACTGTGCCGGGCGCAAAATCGCGTCGCTGGGTGATCTCCCCGAGCCTTCGGTCTTCGCCGCTCTCCCGCACTTAGACTGAACGTGTAATGGATGAATTGATGTACAGTCAATGATTTCAGTCGTGATCAACTATCGGGGTCCAGCGTGAGAATTGTGAGACTGACAGAAAGCTTATTGTGAATCACGCTGTTGGTGTGTGGGTGTGGGTGGGTGTGGGTGTGGGTGTGGGTGTGGTGGGTGTATGGGAGTGTGTGGGTGGGGGGAGGGGGGAGGGTGTGTGTGTGTGGGGGGGGGGGGTTTGCGGTTAGAGCTGGCTGAGAAACCGGCTTTGGAGGAAGTTGGTTTTCAAGCAGTGGGTGAGGCGGCGTTTCCCACTTGCGGAGGGAACCCTTCACCGCTATCCTCATTGATCATAGCCCTGTGACATAGAACGGACAGTTTGTTGAATCATCTCGTGACACATACAACGTTTTGAATGAGGCATGACCTAATCCGTGTACCGTGTCCGCCCCGCACGCTCATGCTTACTGTCAATTGCATGATGCAAAGCCCTGTGCTTTTTGTCTTCCCCGTAACTTGACGGTCAGGAATGCTCTGCCAGGCCCATGGCTGACATGGCCGTAGCACCAGACGAATAAAGCCAAAATTGACGGATCACTTGTGCGTTTACTGTTCATCATTGTCGGGTTTTGCCAGTCATTGATTTGAAGACGCAATTTATAGATATCTCAATGCCGGCAAAGGTAGAAACAAGTCCAGTAATGAGTTACTAGGGGTAGTGGGGCGCTTTAAATTGATCACGATAACGGTTTTTCATAACATGCGTCCTTCTGCGAGCTATGACCAGGAAGAACATTTCCGTATCATCATGAATACATGCAAGTGGTCTGCCCGCAACCAGGGTGTTATAGAGGTCACTTGCGCAATGCGCACCCCATGTGAATGCAGTGAGTAGCGGGCGGTGCTTTAGGCAAGGGTTCAAGTAATTTGTGTGAAAACCAACGCCGTGCTCATTTTCAGGCAGTCAGTTCCATGCGACTCGTCAGATGCAAATTTTAATAGTGCTTTATCCCGCTCCGTCCATGTGCGCGTCTGAGTACATTGGTGTGTCTCCAACGTGTTCATAAGCTCATAAGCGGTTGTTCCCGTTGCCCGTCCTGTATGATGCAGTTGTCGGTCGTAACTGGAGCTCGTGCTCACCATGAACCCATTCCGCCCGCGGAATGAGAACAGTATTCCAGATTTTAAGCAGCGGGTGGGCGGCAGAGCAGTCGGTGGCCGAGCAGGCCTTGCCTGCGTCGTTGCCCGCAGACTAGTGAAACAATGCAGTGTGCTAAGTCACTGTGGAAAGCGTGTCTGCCTATTTAACTACGCGTTGCAAATGACTGGCGCGAATGAGCAAGTGCAGGCAATTATGCGTTGTAGGCCTGTTTGTCCACAGCTGCGTTTCCAAGATGGTCGTCAGACGTTTCCGGTATAATCTCTACTCAAACAAATCATCCAGACCCGCTGCGTATGTAAGCGGCCAGCCTCCAGTGCATCTTAGGTGGCCGCCCGCTCTGAGCCGCGGTGTAGCGCTGCTGCCTGCTGTTTCGAAGCCGGACCTGGGTTTACATGCCTCTGACCCGGCGTCACCGCCCGCTGCAGGTGCGGTACCTGAAGATCATCGAAAAGAGCGGTTACCAGGCGCTGCCGTGGGTGCGCTACATCACCCAGAACGGCGACTACCAGCTGCGCACCCAGTGAACGCGCCCGTCCGTGCACCCGCACCCGCGAACCCCGCAGCCGGAGAGCGAGCCGCGTGTCCGGCGCACCGTCGCGTGCTCCGCAGCTGGAGAGCGAGCTGCGTGTCTGGCGCGCCGGCCAGGCTCCGTGAGGCGCCGGCCGCCGCCCGCCCCCGCCCGTTCGAACTGCGTGGTCTCCGTCGGTAGTGCCACCGGCGTACGGCTGCCGACTACGGCGACGGAGGCCCCGGAGGCCTGGTATTTATTGTTGCGAGCCGGCGGCTCTGGCGGAAATCATTCCACGGTGGGAAGATCTGTAGGTGTCCGTACTGATTTTAACCAAATATATCTGGAGTGTTTCGAGGTGAAGCTTGTGCTTTTTTCGACCCACACGGACGATGCATGGCGACGTCAACGAGCACCGTAAAGCTGAGCAGACAGATTGGTAGTGTAGTTAACACGGCGCGGTTTGACTGCCTAGACTCAGCTGTTGATAACTGCGCGCTGTCGGGGACTGTCCCTCGGGCGTCACGTCCGTCGCTCAGAACCGCGTCGAGCTACGCCGCCGTCGGCATCCGCTCGCCTGCCGTGTCGGCGGTTGTAGCTGCGCCGGGCTTCGCAGCCTGACACCTGGGGAACACGATCCCACCCGGACACCCCCTCCCCTCGCGCCACGCTCGGCCCAGGGGCCGCTGGTACCGGACACGGCCCTGAGCCTGTGCGCCGGCCAGCCGCCAGAGGGCAGCGGCTGGCCGGCTGACTCACCCCGCCGCTCGGGAGGATGGCCGAGCGGCCCGTCGCCCGCGTCCAGTGCCGGTCAGCGCGCAGCGGCGACGCAGGCGGCTCGTGAGCGCCGGTGATGGCCGACTCTGGCGTGGCGTTCACCATGGAGGACCAGTCGCCGGCCTGGTACCTGACCCCGGACCGGCGGCTGGGCTGCGGTCCGGCGGCGGTGGAGGCGCCCGGCCAGCGGCGCCGGCTGCCCGACGACGTGCTGCAGTAAGTGTTGTCGCCTCCCGCTCATGCCCGCCGCCAGCCGGTCCCTCCTCGTGGCGCGGCGTTGGTACCTGTGCGGAGACGCGGCTTTGGCACGGTGTCGGTGACGGCGACGGCGGGGGCGGGGGCGGGGGCGGTTGGAGCTAAGCCCGGGCGTGTTTATCTTCCGGCCGCGCATCGCTTACATGCGCGTCTGGCCGCTCTTCCTTGAACAGATTGCCTCCGTGTCCTCCCCTTCCCCGAATTCGGCGGATGTGGGATGTGTAGACGAGCGTGGCCGACGGAGCGCTGGATCGTTGCACTGGTCGTTGTGAAATATGTTACTTGGCACCGCATTCAACAGCCCAGGCGATTAGCGTCATGCGACTGAAGGTGTTGGATGCCAAGCCAGTGGAAATTCACCGCGCTGACAAGTTAACCCAGGACATTTCGTCTGCCAGTATCACTACCGGATTGAGCTCGGACAGCTCGGCCTAGTTTGAACGGCGTTCTGCAGTCGTACGCGGACGGGTCCACCTTGGCCCAGTTCAGGGACACACTGGCTGGCTGGTGATGAGGCTGGTGCTGACAGGAGGGGCGAGGCGGGGGAGGAGCAGGTCGTCTCGCTCAGTCGGTCTGGCTGCCGGCCAGCCGTCGTCGCCCCTTCGCGCCGAACAATGCCGGCCGGACGCCAGCCCGGCCGCCGCCGCCGCCGCCGCCCAGCCTTGTCGTTTATTTACAGTGTCCAGCGGATAGGCTGGGGTCGAAGCCGACTCCGGGTACGGCCCTCTGGGGGGAGGGGCAAGGTCAAGCCTGGTCCGACCAGTCGCGGCCGGCCGGCACTTCGTCGTGTCGTGTGTAGAAGGTGGGGTAATGCGGGTTAGAGGGAGACCAAAGTTTGGCTCATGCGCACCGATAAAGGATTGTCATCGATTTAACCGTCTGGTATCCATGCCGCCGGTTATTGCGCGGTGGTGCGCCTCGCCGCACTGCACCAGACGGCAAGGCTCCGCGTCTGGTGGGAATCCTCCCCTCCCAAACAACTCAACACATCCGTATTGAGGCCTGCTGCGCACAGACCATCGTGTCCTTGTCAATGATCCGTCGTCAGCATCTTTGTTCCTTTCGATCCGCTTGCAGTTGGCCTGCTCACAAGCCCGCGCGAGTTCGGCGAAGCCCACCCGTGCGGCCGCACTGCTGAGAGCGGGCGTGTCACGGGTGCCCCGGGGACATGTCACGGGTGCCCCGAGGGCGTCCCCGGCGTGGCTCACGCCGGTGCCGTCCGCCCGCGCCCATCCGCCCGTCCGTCGCTCTCGGCGCAGGCACTGAGCTGCGGAGGTCGCCGGCGCTGCGGCGCTGCGGCGCTCGCCGAGGAAGCCGCCACGCTGCAGCCGGCCGGCGGGCCGCGGCGCGCCTCTGTGCCTCGCGGGAGCCACCCGGCCGCCGGTGTGAGACGACCTGACCCGTGGGTTCACATGGGGGAAATCGCTGGAGGGGGTCAGAGAGATGTGCCTCCCCCCCGTCTTTTGTCCTCGCTATTTTTGGTCGCATCGCACGCGTTTGGCATTTCATTCAAAGCACTGTTTTGAGTCATCTCTCAATCATACTCTGTCTCCCCAATACGTGAATCATGGTTACACCCACGCCAGAAGGCTGCTGGTGACTTCAGGATGCTGACTTGCGCAGTCCTGTGACCTCCGATTTAGCGAACTTTGAACTGGTATGCAGGACGGCCTTAGCCGCGGGCGCCTGATCAAAGTCTGTGAATCAGCATTAACATACATGATGCGCAATGATTTCATCATTAATTTCGTCCCACTGGAGAATAAGAACCTGCCTGCTCCATGGCTCTAGTGATCTTTGGCTGGAGCAAAATATGATCACATTACTCAGGCACCGGGAAAGTTGCGGTACAGGTCTTGTCCCTCTACGGGGGGGGGGGGGGGTACGCCATCCCGGACGGTTATGCCCCCCCCCCCTGCATTTAAGGATCCGCGCGACCTGCACTGAAACCTGCACAGTTCCTGACTTACATGCCAAAGGCAGTTGTAATAGCCTTATTCGTCGGAGAAATACCAGAAGAATGGAGATAAAGCCCTAATTTTTCACCGAGGAATAAGGCTATTACTACTGATCTGTGTATGTCAATAATGTTGCCCACAAAGGCACTGAACAACTTACGTAGTTCCTGACTTGCGTCTTATTGGATCCCTCCGACCGAGCGGCCGAGCTGACTCCTGATTGGACGTGCCGATGAGCCCGCCGGCGGATCTGGATGCCGTCTGCCGCGTCCTCACCCGTCCGCTGCGCTGAAACAGCTGGCCTGGCCATCCCCCCTCTAGACTACGGGTCAAGACACGCAGGTGCGGGGCCACATCTCTCCACCTCAATATGCGGTGAAAGCCATGCGGATGGCAGTGTTTGCAACACAGTCCCCTCCCCCCCCCCTCCCGCCCCCCCCCCCCCTCCCCCGATCCTCTAAATCAGCCGCCTGTTGGCCGTTCCCTGCACCGGTGACTGCGGCACGACCCGGCCGGTGCCAAGCCCCACCCGCCGAGGTGGTGGCGTCGGACGACCGTCGTCTGTGATTGCTACCCCTCCCCTCTTGCGACCACTCCCTGGCGTGGGCGGCTGGGACAAACGGCTCGGAATGCGGGCAGGTGGCCAAACGAGCGACGGTTCACGCGGGGGGTACGATCAGACAGCGTCCTGTCGCTGAAATCCCGGCCAGATTAGAGGCATCGCCGACCGTCTGGCACGAGCGGCTCCGCAACAGGTCACCGGGTCACTTCCAACAGTTGACCTTCTGGGGAGCAGGTGTCTCCACTGCTGATGTTCGGCGTTCAAAGTCTAGGCTGGTACGTTTTGGCCGGCCGAGGTGGTGATGTCATGTTCGAGGAAGGCTCATGTGCCTTTCATTGCGGCCATTACAGCTGCATTGCTTTTGCCGAATCTACGTTCCTCGAAGCACTTCGCAGCGATTGCCGGTGATGCAGCGGATCGCCTGGCCAATGTAGTGTTAGCGTAGTTTTCCTTGGAACTCTGTGGCACGCGGACCACTGTTTCCCTGGTCATCTTCCAACGCAAATCCTGAGGTTACGAACACAGGTGTACGTGACGTAATTCCAAACGATCCGTCAAATTCGCTTCGTTTTCTTCCGAGCCGTCTGCGATGGAGGCTGAATCGCCTGAGGCACTGGATGTCGGCGAAATGGCAGGGTGATCAACAAGGCGCCGATGGCTGTGGCAATGACGGAGTATCGCGTCCACAAAATGACGGCATCAGAGTGGCCTAAAACACCATTAGTATGTCATCGGCCGGTCGCGCTTTATTCTTGACTAGGAAAGAAGAATTCGGCGGAACGCCATAGCCCCATGCTCGCTCGGCTCCTATTTGCACGGTAGCGTTCATCGCTGGCTGGGCCGCCGCCAGCCCGCAGCCTAGCGAGCTGCGTGGCTCGGTGACGCCCCTGGAGGGCCGGCCCGTCACCCGTACGGCGGTGAGGGCGGTGAGGGATGAGAGGCATGCCTGACGGGAGCCGTGCCGCGCCAGCCAGCCGGCGTACCGCGCAGTTCTCAATGGTGCCTCGGCCCGACTCGACTCCTCCGGCGCTGCACTGTTGTGATGACAGAATCCGGGACATGTCGCGGCTTGCAGTGGTCTGGCTCCTCAGTGTGAGGAGCGTTGTGGCTGCAGAGCACCGACCTGCAGGCATGAAAAGGGAAATTTTCTGAACACGTCACTGTCTGGGTTGGTTATGCCCACTGGTTTTATTGCTTGCTAAAAAGTCCCCAAAGCCTGAAACGGACGCGACAACAGGTAGCGCGTTGTTGACTTCCACAACTGCAATGCCGCGGTCGCGTGTCGCTTAAGCTGGCATCCCCGCGTGCCAGATTTCACCTTGCCATGACTGACCTCTCCCACAGACCAGCTGCTGTGAATGCAGATCACGGCTGATCACATCTATCACGGGGTTGTCTAGCTAGGGCGGGGTGCTTGTTTCGTTACCTCACTCTGATCAAAACCTGGCCTGACCCAGGTCGCCTTGTGCCACCCTTCCTCCCCGTCACCCCTGTCCGGGGTGGACCGCCGCGGGCGCTTGACCTCGTGACCTCCCGGCCGGGCGGTCGGCGGCGGCGTTGCATGAGGTCAGGGGCCAGCGGCGGCGGCGGCGGCTATCACAGCTCTGCGGTGGAGAGGCATCCTGTCAGCCGCGCCAGCCGGACCGGCCACGCGGACCGCCGAGCAGACAGACCGACCCCTCCCTCCGGACTGGACCAGGCGCCGCCGAAGGCAGCGTCATGGTCTGGGCTGGGGTCGGCCGTCTGATGGAAATCGCTCGTTGCAACCGGCAGCGGCCGTTTTTAAGAACAACATCAAATACCGTT